CAGTGCCAAATTTATTCTAACCCACAATAGTTCTTAAGAGCAATATCCCTACGCTAGCAAATGCATCTCAGTGTCGTTTAATTTATGTACAGAGCCATTACGTTTTAAAATGGTATATTGTTTGTTGTTTAATAGTGGCATTTTCAGTTCAATGGAACTTTTACAAGTTATTCTTTTCAGCCAGTCGACATTCATATCGATGGATGTGACATCAGCCTTTAGTTTGTCACGTTAACTGAAATCTAGACAAATCTTACTGTGTTAGGTCTCAGTTTTGTCAATCTTCCAAACACAAGCTCCAGCAGAGTACTATGATAGATAGAAAGTATTCATGTATCCTCCATTCAAATTGGGTAAACAGCCCTCTTTTGTAGAAGATTAGAACCCAGAACATTGTGAATTCATTCCTCGTTGAGATAGAAAGTTGTTAGCAGGCTTCATAAGACGTTGCAATCTAAACTTACTCTCTTTTTATATCGTAAAGTGGATTGACTGTGTATTTTGTAGGTGAAATGCAAGTGAAAATGAAATGAGAATTAAATTCAGAGCAGGAAATGCTCTGGAGATAGCAAAGTCTGAGCAAAATATTTTAATTTGATCAACTTAAATAGACTTGTTTTACTGAGTTCTTTCTTTTACAGTGTTTCAGTGGATAGAATTCCACCTTGATCTAAATTTTCTCTTTTACCTTAATATTTTAGAACATCCAGAATTTGGCAAATTGTTGAATTCAGTCTTAACTTTGAAGTCAGGTTTCTGCTGTTCTTTATCAGAAAACCTGTTTCAAAATTGAGGCTGCTCATAGGAATATACCAAAATCTGGACATTCTAAAATGCTAAAATACATTAATATAGTAAATCTAGATCCAGGTGAAATTTCTATCCTGAAATTCCCAACTCAAACACCAGTACATTATATTGACTAGTGCATCATGTGCCCCACCTTGCTCGTCCCACAATTGGCAGGCGGGCCTTCAGCCACTCTGCCCCCACCTTCTGGAACTCCATCCCGCAATCCCTCTGCCTCGCCCCCTCCTTTGCCTCCTTCAAGACCCATCTCAAGACTCACCTCATCATCCGTGCCTTCGGTCTAGCACCTTGGGACAGCAACAACACCAAAATTACATTTGTATAGCGTCTTTTATGTCGGCAGGACATCCCAAGGCGCTGGACAGATAGAGTTACGGTCCCAAGCTGGGGGTCAGTGTCGGGGATTGTGGAGGGCAGGGGGTGAAGCAGGGAGATTGAAAGCACGGTCGAAGATGAAGGCCTTGAGATGGGTCTTGAAGGAGGCAAGGAAGGGGGCGAGGCAGAGGGACTGCAGGATGGAGTTGCAGAGGGTGAGGGCAGAGTGGCAGAAGGCCCGTCCACCAACAGTGGGGTGAGCGAGGCGGTGGATATGAAGCAGGCTGGAGCCCGCTGAGCAGAGAGAGCGAGCAGGATGGTGGGGGGTTAGGAGGTTGTGGAGGTAGGGGGGGAGCAAGACCGTGGAGGGCTTTAAAGGTGAGGACGAGGATCTTGAACTCTATCCTATGTGTGATGGGAAGCCAGTGGAGTCGGTTGAGGATGGGGGTGATAGGGTCACGGAGACTGGTGCAGGAGATGACATGGACTGCAGAGTTCTGGATGATCTGCAGCCTGTGGAGGGAGGAGTTGGGGGGGCCGACAAGCAATGAGTTTGCATAGTCGAGCCTCGATGTAATGAAAGCATGTATGAGGGTCTCGGCGGCCTGTGGCGTGAGACAGTGGCAGAGCCGGGCGATGTTGTGGAGGTGAGGGAAGCCAGAGCAGGTCATGGCACAGATGTGGGACAGAAAGGATAGTTGAGGGTCAAACAAGACCCCAAGGTTCCGGACTGGCTTAGTACGGTGGAGTGTGCAACCATGGATGGTGATGCTGTCAGCGCCTGAGGTGAGGAGGTGCTGACGGGAGCCAATCAGAAAAGCCTCGGTCTTGTTGACGTTCAACTGACGAAAGTTAGCTCTCATCCAATACTTGATGTCTGATAGATATTCAGTCAGGACAGCAGATGTCCTGGAGTCAAGGGTGGAGGCAGAGAGGTAGAGTTGGGTGTCATCTGCATACATGTGGAAGTTGACCCCATGTCTGCAGATGATGTCACCAAGAGGGAGCATATAGATATTGAAGAGGAGGGGACCAAGGACAGAGTCCCGAGGAATGCCACACGAGATGGTGCGGGGGATAGAGGAGAAGCCGTTTGTGGAGATGAAATGGAGGTGGTGTGAGTGGTACGATCTGAACCAGTCAAGAACAGAGCCGTGAAGGTTGAGGTGAGAGGAGAGGTGGTGGATGAGGATAGAGTGGTCGACAGTGTCGAAGGCAGCAGAGAGGCCAAGGGGGACGAGGAGGCAGAGGGAGCCTTGGCTGCAGGCTGTTTCGGTGTTGTGAGCTCCAATCAGATTTCCGTGCTCCCCACCTTGTCATCCCAATGCTATACAAATGTAATTTTGTTGTTGTTGACTAGTGGAGTTCTATTCGAAACCTTATCAGTATTGTAGCGGTAATTGTGTGTAATGATCCCAGCACAACTGCAAACAATTAGTCTCTCAAATTACAGCCCATAAGACCTAATTCTGCAAAAGCTGGACTGGTTGGAGAGGCTGCATGCTCCTGCAATAAGAAGAGGCTTGAAGAGCAATAGCCCTGTTGCCTATGTTTCTGTTGGTGCTATTGCTTCCCTAGGGCTGATAAAAAAAAGTTGCTTCCTCTGTTGATGCCAATTCTGCTGCTGCCCGAGGGACGAGTCAATGCCAGGATATCGCTCCAATCCTTAAGAGGAGTCATAACTCTGTAGAAATTATTATGCACATTCTTTGGATTTATTCATCTGAGAACAGTCACTCCAAGTGGGTGAATAAAATTGATTTATTCACAAAAACAATTGATCATTCTAGCATTTCCATAGCAAAAAAAAATTCTATTTTGTATATTTTGTTTGGTCACACAGGTGTCAGACACATGCAGAAAACCCATCACAGTGCTTAAGAGTATCCAAATCAAACTGAGAATTCCCTGTATGCCACCTACATATATTCCTATGTATTGGGGTGGAATGAGTACCCTCTCCCTGGAAAGGACACATTCTTCTTACCTAATTCCAGAGAGATGGGTGCAGCCTGGCAAAAGCTAAGGCTTGGGGACCCCAGAGTGTGCATTGGTGTATTATTTGGAGTCTATAACCAGCTGAAACTATAAAGTTTGCCCATTGAAAACACTGTCTGTCAAGTTTCCCAATGTGTGTGACCACTGTTGGGCCTTGGCTTGCTGGGTTAACAGGAGCTGAATGGGAAGATTCTCTGCCTTCAGTGACCAATCTGCTCCCCAAGTCCTACTGATGAGCCAGGCTGGCTGGGCTGCCATCAGCAGTGCTCTGGTATACTACAGACCTGTCTGAGAAACTGGATACCGAGACCACCACAGAGGGTTCACTCGATTCTAACATTCTGTGGCCAACCATGTCATCTTGGAGTCACTTCAACTCTAAGGAGATCCTGCTGACCTCTCACCTACCAGAGGATTTTGTATACGACTCTCAACAACAAAATTATTTTGGTAACACAGCCCCACTGTGTTCAAGCACTGTGTTCTTCTGTACCTTGTATTGATATATAGTATACTGCTCTTTACAATAAATTCTGTGAAGCGCTTTGAGATGTTTTGGTGATGTGAGAGGCGCAATATAAAATGCAATGATTATTTATTATTAAACCCTATGAAGTGCTTTGAGTCCTGCTGCTACATGATAAGGTCAAATCAAATGCGAGGATTATTATTTTCACAGCAGATCTTTTAATCCAATTTCCACACTTTTCCCCATACCCTTACTACCGTGACTTTAAGCCCCATTGAACAAGTTGAATTACATTAGAAAGGGCCAAACCAATAGATTCCTATTCGGTTCCCAACACTGAACAGGAAGGCCATTGCCACAGATAGAGATGGATCCGGGTGGGTGGGTGGGTGGGTGGGTGAGTGCAAATAGACAGCTTTAAAGGTCAATTAATAAACATTTCCAGAGCGAGAAATGCTGAACTAAAAAAAAACACGGTCATCCTTCAGAATTAAAATTCTTCCCAGAAGCTGACACATCATTTGTAACCAGCTGTAGCTGCCCGTAAATGCAGGATGAGACATTTCACGTTGCACTTTGCTGTCGTTTGCAATAGGGTGTACGGTCAACACAGCACATACATTTACAATCAATCAAATCAATCAAATCAATCAAATCAATCAAATCAATCAAATCAATCAAATCAATCAAATCAATCAAATCAATCAAATCAAACAAATCCATCAAATCCATCCATCAATCAATCAATCAATCAATCAATCAATCAATCAATCAATAAATCAATCAATCAATCAATCAATCGCCTGACGTGGGTTACAGATAAACTCTCCTCTCCTGCAGTGTAAGAGGGAACCTGAGGAGCGCAGCAAAAACTACTGCCACTCATCCGACTGACAGTCTGCAGCGTTTGCACGGCTGGTGCCCGCTTATAGCATCGCTTTGTACTGAGAGGACTGGAGGAGGATGGCTGTGATAACTGGTGCTCACCCGCCCGTTGGATGGAGGCATTTGTGCAGCTTTGCCGTCAGCTTCCCAGTTTTTTTTTAAAAAAAACACACACACAAGTGGAAAGATTATTAATGACAGGAGGGACCGCGGCCACCGAGACACCAGTGATCCAGCAATGATCAGCAGTGTTTCACTCACTCGCTTTCCTAAAATGCGAGGCAAAGCCATCCTCACAGTCTCCAGCAAACACTCACTCACTCACTCACTCTCTCCTGGTTACCTCCACCAGAGTGACGTGGGAAGTACTTTTAAGGGAAGCTTTTAAGAAGGGGGAGCCCTGACCTTCCCTCTGAAATGGAACGATCCTGACTGGCTGTGCTGCTGGCACAGGGGAGCTTCCTGCATTAGATCGGATTGAGAGCATCCCTCCCTCCCTCCCTCCCTCTCCCTCCTTCTCTCTCACTCACTCACTCACTCACTGAGCTGCTGTATATTGCTCCCCGGCTTCAACACAGCAGCAAAGCATGTCAGAGCCGGAGTGAAGGCAGCAATGAACCCAACCAACAGCACTGAGCCACAGGAGGAACACCTCTTCAGTCCCAACACCTACAAACTTCTGGCAGTCATCATAGGCACCATAGGCATCGTCGGCTTCTGTAACAATATCCTTGTGCTGTTGCTGTACTACAAGTTCAAGCGGCTCAGGACTCCCACTAACCTCCTGCTGGTGAATATCAGTGTCAGTGATCTGCTGGTGTCCGTCTTTGGACTCAGCTTCACGTTCGTGTCCTGCACACAGGGCCGATGGGGTTGGGACTCTGCAGCTTGTGTGTGGGACGGGTTCAGCCACAGCTTATTTGGTGAGTACAATAACAAGCTTTAAACTCCAGACTGTTTGCAAAGGGACTGTGAAAGGAGCGCTCCAGTCAGTCACCTCGGTGGATGTTTGTGCAACGGGAGAGGGTAATTCAACAAGATATGTACAGTATACGTCGATCTATCGCTCTCTCTGAACTGCAGTGAACACAGGACGATGTACCCTCGGGTTACTGAGATGCACAGTACAGTATCCTTGAAAATGATAAGATAGATGTGAGTAATGGGAGGATGTCTGGACATAGGATGAATGTCACCCATCCGAGACCTCCCATCTGTAAAGCTTTTCAGTGATGTTGGTAGGACTGGAGGTGGTCCCCTTCAGTGCTGTCAAATAAGATTGCACAAATCCCACTTTAGGAAAGATCATGTTTCTTATAGAAGCCATTTCATTTCCCAGTCGTTTCAAAATCCATTTGTAAAGGAAATGGTTTCATAGAGCCTTACACAAATCACAAATCATGCGTTGGAGAAGGAGAGCAAACCAATTCAGCTTTAATGCATTAGACGTCTAGTATTTGGAATAGGACAAAAATACCGTTAGCTTAGTGGACCAAGTTAGCACACCTATAAAATACTATCTTCATAGTATTAAAATACTATAAAGATAGCATTAATTAAAACATCAGAGTGATCGGTCAACTGCAAATTAAACATGCTACCCCTGTAGAATAAGTACAATCATTTAATCAATATTAAATGGCAATCTAAAATAAGGACATATATATTTCCTAACGCAGTAAGGCTTGTGTTTGTTAGAAAGTTGATGAATACAGGTGGAAAATGAAGCTGATTCCTTATCCTTTCCAGGTGTCAGTCTGGCTTCAGTTGGTGGAAGTTTTGCTTTCTGGTAAGAAAGCAGATAGTTGTAGGTTCCAGCCCCATGTTAGGATTTTAAGCTCAGTCCAGGCTGACTCTCAGTGCTGGGGGGAGATGTGCTACATTGTTGGAGGTCATGTCCTTCAGAGGAGATGTTAAACTAAGGCCCAGTGCCTGTTCAGGTGGATGTCAAAAATACCATAGTACTATTCAAAAAGAGAAGGGAGTTTCTTTCTCCCAGTGTCCTGGCCAACATTACCCAGGTTGGTCCTTCACTTTATGGCTGTATAAGGGGCCACAAATCTGCATCTACATTCACCTACAAAACAATCACTGAACTTTACAGTGATTCTTGTTTAAGTGTTTTGAGATGTCTCAACAGTGTGTTAAGGTGCTGTATCAAATACAAGGATGATTATTTTTTTCCTGAAGATAACTAAGTTGACTTAATACTTCATATTCAACTTAGATATGAAAAAGTGTTGTTATTACAGTTTTCCCTGTCACTTTTTGCTTGGCTCTCAGTACTAAAAATGTATTTCACACATGTCGAGAAAAAATGACCACATACTTATCTTCATAATTAGGGGGATATACAGCTGATAGTGAGCTAATGTCACTGTTGAGTCAGCCACATGACGTTACATTGTCATATCACAGTGTGCGTGTAACTTGCCTTCTATTTAAACATTTGTGAAGGATAAACATAATTCTTACATCTTCCACCAGTGCAGTTAAAACTCAAATTGTGTTACTGTACAATTTTGTGAACATATTTTAGTGCAGTTTCCAAAGAACATCATTGAGTGGTTTGATTGCAGTGACGCCAACAAAGCAATCTCCTAGTACTAAAATCCTTGCTCATAATCAATAGCTTAAATATGACTCAAAGGCCATTACGTTTAATCAATTGACCTAACTCCAGAAATATCAGATTTTCCTCTTTCCAATTTTATAGTGGAAGGATGCGCTAATATCGAAATACACACATAATAATTTTCAAATTTTGCTAAGGAACATTTTCATTTTTAAGCAGCAAGGACATACTGTTCGCTATATACACAAAATTAACTGGACAACTGTGTCCTCTTGTGGTGCAATGCTTTATTGCAACAAAATAAGTAAATGATGGTAAATAATCCTTACATTTGATATAATAATCTTTGCATTTGATATAGCACCTTATGATGTCTTCCAGACATCTCAAAGCATTTCACAGGATATACTGTGATGTGAATTGACTCTATATTTTGTGGGCAAAATGTCTTCCAGACACATTTAAGTGCTTTACAGGCTACACGGTAAAGTGGTGTGAGACTGTGTGTGGGCAAACGTGACATAACAATGTTCCACCAACAACCATGAAGTGAGTGACCAATTTTATTTGGGGGTTCTTGGCCAGGACACCGGGAGAAACCCCCTTCTCTTTTCTCTTTTCGAATAGACCCATTATATCTTTAACATTCAACTGGACAGGCAGACAGGACCTCAGTTTAATATCTCATCTGAAGGACTCCAGCACTGCATTAGAGTGTCAACGTAGATAATACAGTTTCGAAGTCCTAATGTGGGGCTTCAACTCACAACCTTCTGACTTGGAGACGAGAGGACTACCAATTGAGTCAGGCTGACACACTCTTACATTTGATATAATAATCTTTGCATTTGATATAATGTCTTATCACATTGTCAAAAATACTTCAAAGCATTGGATTTTCCTTACTAATGCTTTAGATAATGTTTCCTTACTCCACATGCCTCTGTTTACTTAGCAGTAAGTAGGAACTGGTTGTTATTCATTTGGTGGATCGCTTTTCTGGGGGTAATAATCCCTTCCAAAAATATAATATAAATAAATAATAATAATTTGGTCATTCGACTGTTTGTGGGACACTGCTAAACGCAATTGGCTGCTGGGTTTCGTCACAAGATATACAGTTAATTCACTTTACAATGTATTCTGTGAGGCGCTTTGAGACGTCTCAAAGATGTGATAAAGCGCTATACCAAATGCAAGGATTATTATTTTATTCATTGGAACGTTTGATGACTATTTCGGCAAATGTCACAGACAATTTGCACATAAATTATATGAAGCAATTGACCAATTTTATCAGAAGATCACAAAATTGGTTTGGATGAGATATTATTAATATTTTATTATTCCAGAATACCCATGCAACTATCTTCCCAACACAGCATCAAGCTATTTTTTAAACAAACCCAATGCCCTGGCCTTAACCATCCTTCCTCGTAACCTGTCTTTTCTGGGCAAATGTTTGATAGGCCTGAAAAAGAATTGAGTGCAGGGGTAGGGGAATATTCCCATCTCGTTTTGAATAGTGCCATGGGATCTTTCATGTCCACCTGAACTCTTTATTGAAGGTCCTTGTTTCACCAGTAGATGGCAGTTTGTTACACAACCACTGCCTACTCCTTCTGTTTTTATTTTGAAGTCATGATATCTTGCACTTTCCAACAGGAATCACTGGATAGTGATCAAAAGAAAAAAACCTTCTCTGTGTTCCCCTCCATAATCCAGAGACACTGAGGGTCTTGTTAAAGTCTCCATCACATTAGGTATCAGATGACAGCACAGTTCAAGATTTGCATTCAGCATTTACTGATTCTCTCTTTGTCTCTATTACATTTTAACTACAACAACTTGCATTTATATAGCACCCTTCACACGGGTAGTGCATACCAGAGCACTTCAGTGTTTTAGTAGTGGAACTTACCCAGAGATTTACCCTGCTTCCCCCCCTGCCCTCCACCCCCCCCAATCACGACCCCAGCTCGGATCCGAAACACTGTCTGTCCAGCCCTTTGGGACGTCTTCCCGATGGCGGTGGTTGTGGTGGTGGTGGTTATCACATCAAATGGGTTCAGATGTGCTGAATTTCACAACTTGCTGTCAGAAGAGCCTCAGACACAATATAATTACACACCAGAACTGAGCTAAGTATTTTTTAAAAAAAAATGTCTTTGGATCTTAGGGGTCATAGTCTCAGAATTAAAGGTCAGCTCTTTAGAGCTGAGTTGAGAAAACATTTCTTCACTCAGAGGGTAGTGAATTTATGGAATTCTCTACCCCAGAAGGCTGTGGATGCTCAATCATTGAACATATTCAAGACTGAGGTTGATAGATTTCTAAAGGATAGAGGGATTAAGGGATATGGGGACAGGGCAGGTAAATGGAATTAGGTTAGAAGATCAGCCATGATCTTATTATATGGCGGGGCAGGCTCGAGATGCCGAATGGCCTACTCCTGGTCTTATTTCTTATATTCTTATCCCATGAAGCGTTTGAGACGTCTCGACTGGCTAATTGTCTGTCTGACATCAAATCCTGGACGAGAGCCAACTTCCTCCAACTCAATGTTGGCAAGACAGAGGCCCTCCTGCTTGGCTCCCGGCAGCGCTTCCTCACCTCAGCCACTGACGGTATGACTGTTCATGGTTTCACTCTACACCTCACTGAGCCAATATGGAACCTCAATTCCTGTTCAATACTCAGCTATCCTTCAAACCCCACATTCGTGCCGTGACCCGTTCCGCCTTTCCACACCTCTGCAACATTGCCCGCCACTGCCTCTCACCGCAGGCCCCTGAGACCCTGATCCACACTTTCATCACCTCCCGACTTGACTATGCCAACTGCCTGCTCACTGGACTTCCCATCTCTTTTCTCCACAAACTGCAGATTATTCAGAACTCTGCAGCTCGTGTCCTCTCCCGCACCAGGCTCCGGGAACCTATCACCCCCGTTCTTGCCCGGCTTCATTGGCTCATCATCCCTCAGGGAATCGAGTTCAAAATCTTTGCTTTCACCTTCAAAGCTCTCCATGGTCTTGCCTCCGCCCCTGCTTCGGACACCAGCCTGCTCCAGATCCCCTGCACTTTCTGCCTCACAATTGGTGATCATGCATTCAGCATCTCTTCCCCCACACTCTGGAAATCTATCCCGCAATTCCTCTGTCTCACCCGCTCTATTGACTCCTCAAATCCTGTCTAAAAACCTTCCTCTTTGACCATGCCTTCGATCACACTCCCACCCCCTTTCTCCCAGTCCTCCACTGCTCCTGACACCAACTCCCAGGTTGGGTCCAAAATCCCTGATTGTCCAGCTCCCTGGGATGTCTTTTCGATGTGAAGGGCACTGTACAGATGTAATTTGTTGTTGTTTCCCCCTACCCCTGTACTTGATTCCTTTTCAGGTCCATTCTCTTGTGTATCTGCATTCAATTTTCCCTCTCAGATATGGAGCATGGTATCACAGACGTCAACAGGAAAACCGGGAGAGGGGTAACAACCTACAGGTGGATTGACTGCTAACTGCGTGTGATAATAATAATCCTTGCATTTGATATAGGGACTTATCACATTGTTGAGACATTTTAAAGGGCTTCAGAGAATATATTGTAAAGTGTATTGACTGTGTATTTTGTGGTCAAACTGTGGCAGCCAATTGCCCACAGCAGTGTCCCATAGACAGTGATGGATTGAGTGACCAAATATTTTTTTTGTGGGACTATTACCCCGAAAAGTGATCCATCAATCGACTAACAACCAGGTTCCTACTTACTGCTAGGTGAACAGAGGCGTGCGGAGCAGGGAGACTTGCTTAAAGTTTCTTATAATGTAGCTCATAGACATTTTTGTTATTTAACTTCACAGGAACCGTGTCAATCGTGACGCTGACAGTCCTGGCATATGAGCGCTACATTCGTGTGGTGAATGCGAAGGCGACCAACTTTCCCTGGGCTTGGCGTGCGATCACCTACACCTGGTTCTACTCACTAGCCTGGTCTGGGGCACCGTTAGTTGGCTGGAACAGATACAGTCTGGAGCTACACAGACTGGGCTGCGCAGTGAACTGGATCTCCAGAGACCCCAATGATACATTATTTGTGCTCTTTTTCTTCCTGGGCTGCCTGGTTGTCCCTGTTGGAGTTATGGCTTATTGCTATGGGAATGTTTTATACACCATACGGATGGTAGGTGAAAACGGCTACTTCCTAATGCAGGAATGGAGACGAGGTGGTCTCTGAATGAAAGTTATCATCGAATGCCACCTTCTGGTTACTGAATCCAACCTTAGAGAGATAGTCTTGCATTTTCAAATGCCTTAATTATGTTGAAATGTCTGCATACTTCAAAGGTTAATACTGTTAATTATAATGCCTGTTTTTGTAGTCCAGCAAGGTCACACATAAAGCCATGAAGTGTAAGATCAATTAAGCTGGAGGATAATTGGCCAAGACTCCAGGAGAAACTGCCTTTTCCTTTTGACCAGAACTATGGGCTGGGATCTTTAATGTTCACCTGAATGGGCAGACAAGGGCTTTTGATTGATGTCTCATCTAAAGGAATTCCCCTGAAATGTCAGCCTACATGAGCTAAAGTAATGAAATAACCAAACATGAGGGAATTTTATCAGATTAGTTATTTTAAATAAGCAATAATTAATCACCATAAGGCTAGATTGTCTAATGTTCCTTGTTTAAATTATTACTCATATCTGTAGTTTCAGGTTTCTATTGAAACACTAACTTGGAGAGTTTTAAGTGACACAATCTTTTTTACTTGGTTTTATAGCATACTTATTTGCTTTATATGTGCAATTTGAAGTTACGACAGACCTAATGTCTGCTTAGATCTGATTTGTTTAACCACAAAATACAGTCACTGTACAGTAAAATCCTGAGATGTGCTTTGAAATGTTTTGACAATATGATTGGGTGGTATATCAAATGCAAGGGTTGTTATTATTATTAATAGCACAGAGCAAGTTGTGTTCTGTGAGCCCAACACTGTAGTGGCTTTAATGCTAGGGTCAACTCAGGACTGGCACAGTAACATTACCACTGCATCTGCTCCGTTGCCAGCCCCATCAGCATCATTCCATAAAGTGCATCTACTCCATCTTTGCCACATATAAAAATAGCATAGACACTTTTGACTACAGGTACAGTATATGTGTGCACACAGCAGCTGATCTTCCTAGATTTAATGTGTGTAAAAATAAAACTAGATGGCACCTCCGTAAATATATCTGAAAGCTACAAGAGTAATCAGTTGCTTTAATGAACCATCAGACGTTCAACTACTGGGCCTGAAGTAAGTTACTGGGACTCAGTGCAAACACAGTTTACCACCTTTCTCAAGATGTAGGTAACTGGGAGGTGAAGGCTGTATTGCCCATCCTGTGGAGTCCTGTAGCTCAGTGGTTAGAGCACTCGCCTCACAAGTGAGAGATCTGGGTTCAATTCCTGGTAGGGCAAACCGTTGGGCAAGTTTCCTTACTCCACATGCTTCTGTTTATCTAGCAGTAAGTAGGTACCAGGTTGTTAGTCGATTGGCAGATTCCTTTTCGAGAGGTAATAATTCCTTTAAAAACATTTATTTAAATTGGTCACTTCAGTCCACGACCGTTTGTGGGACACTGCTGTGTGCAAATGGCTGCCATGTTTCACCCACAAATATACAGTCAATTCACTTTATAGTATATCCTGTGAAGCGCTTTGAGCTGTCTTGAAAATGTGATAAGGTGCTATGTCAAATGCAAGAATTATTATTACAATTATCCCTGGTTGGCCTGAGAAGGTGGTGGTGGATTTTCTCTTTAAATCACCGCAGTCCTTGAAGCGATCAAGTTCCCACGTTAGGTCCATAGTTCCGGGGTTTTGAACCAAAGTCAATGAAGGAACAGTGATATATTTTATGTTCCTGTCAGAATGATGTGTGACTTCCCACAGTGTGAGAAAGATCTTAAATCATCACTATCAAGCCTAGTCCTGGTCTTATCCTCTGTCTACCCACATTCACTTTCTAGCAGTGATCAGGCAGCGCTCTGGGGTGATTTTTATTCTGATTAGTCCAGAAATGCTCGAGCCAATTGTAAGACCTGTACTGTCTCCCAGATCAGATTAACCTACTTGGTGCACACTGAGTGTCGAACTCGTGACTTATCTAATGTGTTTGGTTCCACACCAGATGATGCTGCAATATTGTGGTGCGAGTTTGCACAGAAAAAGGATAGTATCATTACATTGTACTGTGTCAAAACACAAGCACCTTTTGAAGGTCATGTATAATTTCTCCATCCTTGCAAAACACTGTGCTACACACCTCGTCTATCATACATGGATACTAGACAATGCCAGGCAAATGTGACGACTGCAGTGAATGCGCAAGAGTGGTTCGGTTGAAAAGAATCCAGCAATCTATTGGGTCACATCCTTTCAGAGTTCCAAACTTACCCATCCTCCCATTTCAGCATCAATGTGTTTCTTAAATAAATCCAGTATCCTGTTCCAACTTTTGTACAACCTGCCCACAACCTGTAAACATAGTTACGAGGTGATCATTTTTACCACCCCGACTATAAGTTGTACTTACATTAGGATGTTGAACCTTCAAATGAGGTGTAAAATTAAAGTCCCATCTGCCTATTCAAGTGGAACTTAAAGATCCCATGGCACTACTTGAAGCGAAGAAAGAGTTTCTCCTGGTGTCCTGGCCAAAAATCCCCTAAGTAAAATTGGTCAATCATTTCATGGTTGTTTGTGAGACATTTCTGTGCGCAATCTATAAATGCTTGCTTTACGTGGACCTTCTATTTTCTCTTGTTCTACAGCTCCGTACTGTTCAGGATCTTCAGACAGTGCAAGTCATGAAGATACTGAGATATGAGAGGAAGGTGGCAAAAATGTGCTTCTTAATGATCTCCACCTTCTTAATCTGCTGGATGCCCTATGCTGTGGTCTCTTTCATGGTGGCTTATGGTTACACTGATGTAATCACCCCTGCGGTAGCCATTGCTCCCTCATTTATTGCCAAATCAAGTACAGCATATAATCCTATCATTTATATCTTCATGAGCAGAAAGGTAAGGGTCAAGATTTCATGAAATTTAAAACCGTGTCGAAGGAATATTAATTCGATTACTATCGAATTTGCTGCACCAAAACAATTGTCCACAACAACATTTGAAGAAGTATGAAACAATTTAGAAGTTTACCCTAGTGCATTTGAGAAAAAAACTTGACATTTACATGAGGGAGAAGCAAATAGAGGGGCATGGAGGGGATAGGTGCTGTTGTGGAGCACAAACAATCCGGCTTAAACTAGTTGGGCAGAATGTTCTGTTTGCTTGTAATTCTATGTAACTACGTACTCCTCTGGCCAACAGATTATTTTCCATCTATTTTCCGTCATTGATAGCCCGTACTGATGGGATCAGCACTAGTTGGTCTCATGTATAATTGCGCGGTGCTAACAATAATTATCATCCTTGCATTTGATATATAACACGTTATGATGTTGCTGAGACATTGCAAAGTGCTTCACGGTCTAATAATGTAAAGAATAATAAGAACTTATGTCTTCGAGTAGTCTCAAGTGCTTCACAGAATATACTATAAAGTGAATTGACTGTATATTTTTGTGGGCGAAACGCAACAGCCAATTGTGCACAGCAGTGTCCCACAAACAGTTGTGGAATGAGTGACCAAATTTTTTTTTAAGGAATTATTACCCCTGGAAAAGCGATCTGCCAATCGACTAACAACCAGGTTCCCTCTTACTGCTAGGTAAACAGAGGTGTGTGGAGTTAAGGAAACTTGCCCAACATTTCACCCTGCCAGGAATCGAGGCGAGCGCTCTAACCACTGAGCTACAGGACTCCACAAGTAGTGTGACTGTATTTTGTGGGTGACACCAGAAGAAACTCATTTTGAGTAGTGCTCATTTTGAATAGTGACATTTTGAATAGTGCCAAGGGAGCTTTATCATCCACCTGGACAAGCAGACCAAACCCTGGTTTTGTTTCATCTGAAGGATGGCACCTTGAGCAATACAGCACATGCCCAGCATTGCATTGGTGTGTCAGCTTAGACTATATGGGTTCCAAGTCTGATAGTATCAAGACCAACAATCTCCCAAATAAAATTGGTCATTCACTTCATAACTGTTTGTGGGATATTGAGGTCTGAAATTGGCTGTTGCATTCACCTACACAATCACTGCAGTTTACAGGATATCTTTTGAAGTACTCTTGTGTGAAACACATTATATAAAATGCAAAGATTATTTGGCAACTTTATTGAGGAATGAAAACATTGACTTTTTTGTGTGAATCTTTTACAGTATCGACGATGTCTATCACAACTATTTTGCTCTCACCTAATGAGTCTCCAGTGGTCAATAAAAGACCCCAGCTCCAAAGCCCGAAACGACATGCCAGTGAAGCCCATTGTCCTATCGCAGAAAGGTGACCGGCCAAAAAAGAGAGTGACTTTTAGCTCATCTTCAATCGTTTTCATCATCACCAGTGATGATACTCAGGAACTTGGTAGCATTGCTGGGAGCAACGCCACGCAAATCAGCATCGTTCAAGTGCAACCATTGTGAGTGGGAATAGCTTTGAGAGACAATCAGGGCAGGTGGGTTTAGGTGTCAGTGTGACTCACTCGGCTGCGAATGACACTTCCTTCGTCATTTTAAGTCTCATTCGTGAGTCTCGTTCATGACACGCTGCCTTTTCAATAGGGATCTTTAGGTCAGTGTTTCCCAATTTGTACCGTAAATACATGGAATTTTTTGGTGAAAGTTAGTCAGTTTATTAAAAAATATTTTTTTTTCTGAAAATAAATTCTCTGATATTTGGGGGGCTTCAGGAATGTCGAGTTTTAGGAGAAATTTCTTCCATGTGGAGGCCGTTGAGAATGTGGAACTCAATGCTGTGGTTGAAGCAAAAATCATCAATGTATTTTAGAGGACACTTGATGCTTACACGAGGGAGAAGGCAGTAGTGGGGTTTAGGAATTAGAATAGGAGGGGTGGGAGGGGGTCGTGTAGAATATAAACATTGGCTAGTTGGGCGGAATGGTCTACTTCCTTCCGTATCACTACGTAACTCTGACAGTGTATAGATGACTTCAGCATGGCACTGTATATGCATAATGTGCTTCAGGAAGTGCTCTTGATGATCGAGTCCACTAATTACAGGCCAAATTGCTCACATTTTTAGCTGGTAATGTGATAGTGGAGCTGTTCAAAATTATGCTGTAAAGCATGCTGTGGTGTTTGCTGATTACCTTTTATGTGGGCAAAACATACAGTAACAAAAACTTGCATTTATATAGTGCAAACATGCAAACCAATAGCAGATGTTTACTGACTTTTACCAAATTTGCCCTCATTTTTTGTATTAAAATGTTTCCTGACAATTTTCCCCAACTTTTTGACATGAGAAATATACTCTGAACAAGCGCCCCCCCACCCCCAATACTTGGGATTTTATTTTGTGGGTAAAAACAAAACCTTAATGGCCCTTTCTTTTAAAGGACACTTGCTATCATTACTTTGAAAGGCTTCTGCAGTGCCTCTAATCTAAAAGCATCCAGGGAGAAATGGCTCTGAATGGTTGTTATAATTTGAGGAGGCAGGTGGCATTTTACACTTCTGGTTTCATTTTGAAAACTCAACCACTAAATATAAACGAAGAGAATTTCAGAGCACTGACTCTTTCTAGTTTGAGTGCTGAATAGGATGGTAGGCTGCTATTGTGATTGCTTCAGAGATTCCTTGGCAGATTTGCCTCTATTACAGTGTAAATACACATCCCCTTTCTTGGTCAGATGTGAAATGGGAATACAATTACAAGCTGTACATCAAGACAGGTTGCTGATTAAACAATTCCTTTGCAAAGCTTTATTTTTGTTTCAGGGTACACAAGAAAATGCCTTTTCTTTCTAAGACAAGATTTTAAGATGTGAGTGCTCACATAAAATGGGAAATCATATAATAATCCTTGCATTTGATATATTTGATATTCAAACTCCATTTGAAGGTCACATCCATGGGAAAGTGCAGTAGATGCGAATGCTATCCAAATTATAGGAGACAGAAAAGCCGTGTAAAGCAGAAAAAGAAATCACTCTTGGTGTGTTTTAAACTGGGCTTTCAACCCGCAGCTATTTTAAAAACTGAGCTCCGTAAATAATTAAATTATAGTATTTGTTACTATCTTTCACTTTGATACTGTAATAAACTATGCTGATAAGAATTATTGTTTTTTATATTGCATTGTGAATAAATGTAGTATGTTTCTTGGGTCAGTACACTGTGTTGTAATACTGTGTTGTGAGTTGCAGAGTTTGGTTGTGTGGACATTGACTAAACAACATGCACAACATTATTGTGGGATAATCCTTAATCCCGCAGTTATACATTCAGCAAAAGCTGACAAACGAGCACAAATTTGGTTAAAGTGACTAAACTATAAAATAAATTACACTAAAAGACCTTGCACCCTCATTCAAAGTCCAGCCACACTCAATATCAGGTTGGCAATAGAAAGCAGCCACGGGTGCCCTCGGGAATCAAGAAACAAATTTCAAGGAAGAGGGAGGAAGGAGTTCTCCCATGAGTGAGCTTTATTCACTCCTTTCCATCTATGGCGGTATCGATGAGCGTTTCTCCAGGAATAGGGTGGGGGGAGATAATTATTCTCGTCTGTGGTTAATATTTATTTCGGTTCAATTTTCATATTCCACAATGTAGTCTGGTGGGTATTGTATGTAAATAGGTTTCTCAGTAAGTTTGCTCCAACTTCTAGTTTGCAAAAAAAAAGTTTACTTCACAACATTCATAAAACGGCTAATTATAAAGCTGGCCAAATCCAAAAAAACATTAATGAGCTCAGTACTGCCAGTGGACGAAACCCCATGGTTATTCAACATAAAAGCCCTTACAGACAGTGAGTAGCTCTAAGTGGGCAGCTTATATTAACATAGAATCACAATCAGGGTGTTCCAATATTAACTACAAGGATCCCAATCACTTTCAATTACTCCCAGTTACTTAAAAATGAAAATCAAATTCCTGATCCCTTCCATATGAATATTCACATTGCTGAACTTGTGCAGGACATATATCCCAGTGGCTGTTGCTGCTGCTCCCAACACACATAACCCTGCATTGATTACCTGCAAGGCAAAGGAGCATTTTAATAATCACAACAACAACAACTTGCATTGGAATAGCACCTTATATAGCACCTTTCACAAAAGATGATACAGTAAAACTGCAGGAGCAGGAATAGGCCATTCGGCCCCTCGAGCCTGTCCCCCCGTTTAATGAGATCATGACTGGTCTTCTAACTTAGTTCCATTTACCCACCATATCCCATATCACTTAACCCCTTTAGTTTTTAAAAATCTATCGATCTCAGCCTTGAATATGTTCAATGATTGAGCATCCACAGCCTTCTGGGGTAGAGAATTCCCTAAATTCACTACCCTCTGAGTGAAGAAATGTTTTCTCAACTCAGTTCTAAAGGGCTGACCTTTAATCCTGAGACTATGACCCATAGTTTTAGATTCTACAACCAGGGGAAACAGTCTCACACTATCTACACTGTCAAGACCCTTAAGAATCTTATAGGTTTCCATAGGATCACCTCTAATTCTTGCATATTCTAGAGAATATAGGCCTAGTCTACTCAGCCTCTCCTCGTAGGTCAACTCCCTCATCCCAGGAACCAACCTAGTAAACCTACGTTGCACCCACTCTAAAGCGAGTGTATCCTTTCTTAGATAAGGAGACCAAACCTGCACACAATATTCTAGGTGCGGTCTCACCTATACAATTGCAGCAAGACTTCCCTACTCTTGTACTCTAACCCCTTTGCAATAAACATTAACATGCTATTAGTCTTTCTAATTGCTTGCTGTACCTGCACACTAACTTTCTGTGATGGTGTACAAGGACACCTAAATTCCTCTGAATACTAATTCTATCTAGTCTCTCTCCCTCTAGAAAATAATCTGTTTTTGTATTTTTTCTACATAGGTGAACAAATTCACACTTCCCCACATTATACTCCATCTGCCACCTTCTTGTCCAATCACTTAACCTGTCTATATCCCTTTGCATCCTCCTTGTGTCCTCCTCACACCTTGTGTCCTCCTCACAGCTCCTCACATCATAGTAGCTAATGATACTTAGCTTTGTATCATCCGCGAATTTAGGTACATTAAGCTCTATTTCCTCATCTAAGTAATTGATCTAGACTGTAAACAGTTGAGGCCCAAGCACTGATCCTTGCGGCACTCCACTAGTACCAACCTGCCAAACTGAGAAGGACCCGTTAATCCCACTTTCTGTTTTCTGCCACTCTTCGATCCATGCTAATATATTACCCTTAATTCCATGAGCCCTAATATTATGTAACAACCTTTTATGTGGCACCTTGTTGAATGCCTTCTGAAAATCCAAATACACTATATCCACTGGTTCCCCCCTGAGTAACCTGCTAGTTACATCTTCAAAAAACTCTAAAAGATTTGTTAAACACGATTTAACTTTCATAAAACCGTGTTGACTCTGCCTAATCATATTATGACTTTTTAAGTACCCCACGACGACATCCCTAATTATAGACTCTAGAATTTTCTCTACCACCGATATAAGGCTAATTGGTCTGTAGTTCCCCATTTTTTCTCTACGTTCTTCTTAAATAACAGTGTTACATTTGCGACCTTCCAATCACTGGGAACTGTTCCAGAATCCAGGGAATTTTGGAAGATCAAAAACAATGCATCCACTATCTCTGTAGCCTCCTCTTTTAAAACCCGAGGATGCACTCTACAGGTCAGGGGATTTACTATTTTTTCGTAAGTTTTTTTTGGTAAGTTTTTAGTATCTTCCAATGTGACGATAGAAGCAAAGTATTTGTTTAGTGACTCTGCCATTTCTTTATTCCCCATTATAATTTTTCCTGTCTCTGCCTGTAAGGGAACCACATTTACTTTTGTTAATCTCTTCCTCTTTATATATTTGTAAAAGCTCTAACAATCTGTCATTATATCTCTAGCTAGTTTACTCTCAGGTTCCATTTTCTCTCTCTTAATCAGTTTCTTGGTTATCGTTTGCTGATCTCTAAAGCCATCCCAATCCTCAGGTGTACAGTTCTTATTGCCAATCTTATAGGCCTCTTCTTTCCATTTTATAATTTCCTTAACTTCTCTAGTTAGGCATAGTTGAACCACTTTCTCGTAGAATTTTTATTTCTCAAGGGAATATGCGTTCGCTGGGAATTATCTAATATATCTTTGAACGTTTGCCATTGCTTGTCTACTGTCATATCTTTTAATCTACAACAACAAGTTTAAATTTGTATAACCCCTTTCACGTCGGGAGGACGAAGTCCAAGGCACTGGACAGTGTACAGCATTTCAGACCCGAGCTAGGGTCAGGGGAGGATAAGGGAGGGGAAGCGGGGTGGCCGAAGAGGAGGGTCTTGAGGCGGGACTTGAAGGAGGCCAAGGAGGGGGTGAGGTAGAGTGATTGCGGGATAGAATTCCAGAGGTTGGGGGCAGAGTGGCTGAAGGCTCTCCCGTCAATGGTGGGGCGGGTGGGTCGGGGGATGTAGTGCAGGCCGGAACCGGTTGAGCGGAAGGAGCGAGTGGGTTGGTAGAGGCTTAGGAGGTCACAGAGGTCGAGTGGGGTGAGGCCATGGAGGGCTTTGTAGATGAGGACCAGGATCTTGAACTGGATCCTCTGAAGGATAGGGAGCCAATGGAGTCGGGCGAGAGTGGGGGAGATGGGGTCACGGAGTTTGGTGCGCGAGAGAACACGGGCTGTAGAGTTCTGGATTATCTGCAGCCTGTGGAGGGAGGAGTTGGGAGGGCCGACAAGCAGGGCATTTGCGTAGTCGAGCCTGGAGGTGATGAAGGCATGAACAAGAGTTTCAGCGGCCTGAGGGGTGAGGTAGTGGCGGAGTCGGGCGATGTTATGGAGGTGAGGGAAGGCAGAGCGGGTCATGGCTTGGATGTGGGGAAAAAAAGACAGTTGAGGGTCGACCAAGACACCTGGGTTCCTGACTGGCTTAGTGAGTTGTAGTGTGCAACCATGGAGGTTGATGGGACGCCAGATGTGACAGTGCTGGGGCTGGAGGAGAAACCATTAGAGACAACAAAGTGGAGACAGTGTGAGAGATAGGAATTGAACCAGGCAAGGGCAGGTCCATGAAGATTAAGTAAAGAGGAGAGACGGTGTATGAGGATGGAGTGGTCGACAGTGTCGAAGGCGGCAGAGAGGTTGAGGAGGACAAGGAGGCAGAGGGGCCCTGATCACAGATGTTCAGAATCTACTATCCCAGTCTATTTTAGTCAAATCGTCACTCATACCTGCAAAGTTGGCTTTATTTAAGTTTAAGACCCTTGTTTTGGACGTAACTACATCACTCTCAAACTCACTATTAAATTCCATCATATTATGGTCACTCTGCCCTAGAGGATCCTTAACTTCCAGATTACTGATTAGTCCTGCTTCATTACACAATATAAGATCTAGGATCGCTGTTCCCTGGTTGGTTCCTCAGCATACTGCTCTAGAAACTATCTCTAATGCATTCCATAAACTCATCCTCTGATTTACTTTTGCCAATTTGGTTTTCCTAGTCTATATGAAGATTAAAATCACCCATTATTATTGTATTGGCTCGGTCCCGGGATCCTAAACTGTAAAGCGCTTTGAGACGCCATCCGGCGTGGAGGGCGCTATATAAATCCAAGTTGTTGTTGTCGTTGTTGTATTACCCTTGTTACATTCTACTCTAATTTCCTGATTAATACTCTGCCCATTGTAACTGCTGTTCGGGGTCTATAAACTACTCCCACTAGTGTTTTCTGCCCCTTGTTGTTTCTTAGCTCAACCCATACTGATTCTACATCCTGATTTTCTGACTTAAGATCCTTCCTCTCTACTGTTTTTATCTCATCTTTTATTGACAGGACTATCCCCACAGCCCCTTGTTTTCCATATTGTCTATCTTTCTTACACGTCAGGTATATAGACCAACCTTGGTCTCCCTGTAACCACGTCTCAGTAATGGCTACTAGATCGTACCCGCTTAGCTCTACTTGTGCCATTAATTCCTTATAAATCTTTATCTTTATAAATCATATAATTGCCTAAATCATACATTCAACTGGGTCCGATTCAGTTTCCTATCAAAACCACTAAGATTTTCTTTGCACTAGTTGTATTAATCACCCCCTAACTCGTACCCTTCATTACTCCCGCACTTACCGGCTGCATTGAATCGGGGGAAATTATGTACTGACCTGTCGAAGAATGCGAATATTTAATCGCATTTTAGCTGCATTTACTTGTGGGAAACGTAGTCTTGATCCATTGACACATGTATGGAAGAACATCATTTCCCGCGATTCAACACGATTCCAATTCTTGCTGGTAGGTGCGCATGTGGCGACAGATCAAGACATATTGAATCACAGGAAACATAGTCTTGACCTGTCACCGTATTCCCACTTATCAGTTGTGGTGACAAACTACCGCATGTATATTTAGCGGCTTCATTGAATTACGAATGCGCAGTGTAGATTATTGATTAAATCAGATTTTATAAGATTTATACAATTTTTCTGCAACTCGGAATTCACATAAGTCATATTAAATGTTTTAGTCCTTGGCATCATGATTTGACTTATGTGAGTTTCACTGTAAATCGATTGCTTGACAGAGACAGAGTGGAAACCTGAGCAAGTTGGGAGATTGCTCTTGTATTTGCTGAGATGGGCCTCATTCTCTCACATCTTAAATTAAACAGTAATATGATTTGTCTTAGGCCCAGCATTACTGTCTCTAGTGCTATTTATGACAGTAATTCTTGTTCAGAACGTGGAGTCAAAGGAATGATTAATTGGAACAGGAGGAGGCCATTCAGCCCAGCAATTCCATTCTGCCAGTTTGTTAGATAATGGTAGATCTTTGAATCCCATTTAGCAGTCTTGTCCCCATACCGTCCCCACGTTCTCAGTACACTGTAGCTTAAAAAACTCTTTATAAAGGTTAAAATGTTACCTGTACCTTAGTTTGCCATTTTGATCGCTTTATCACTTCATGGTAACGTATTTGAGTAAAAGTAACCTGCAGTTAAAACAAAAGATAATGTGAAGGATTAAATCTAGAAGCTCATGTCAGTGCTCAACTTGATCAGTTTCCACATGATGCAGTTGGGCATCAAGTGGATTGCGCTGTGACTGTGTCGTGATATGATCTCACCATTGTGTACAAGGGCACAATGGTCCTTGGCATCATGAAATGGAGGAAGTTGTCCAAGTATTTACGGAACATAAACCACTTTGAGTTCACATGCATTCGCATCTGGAAAGAGAAATACCTATTCAGAAATCAATATTTCATGATTGCAATTTTGCAGAACAAAACAATGCAAAAACATAATAATGCTGTATAGCGATTTATAAGCATGGAGGCCAGAAGGTCTAATTCCTTAAATTTGCATTTGTTTTTGATATATACTGTATGTATAAAGGTTTTTGTGAACATTAACATTGCATTCATCTGCTACAAGTCCTGCCAGAATTACACAAACTAGATAGTGCAACGCCCTCAAAGTAGATATAGTTACTGTCACAGTTTCTTCCCACTCAGCTTCCATTAACCCTGCAAGCCAACCACTAACAGGAGGGTGGGCCTAGCTGGAAAAGCAGTAGGAAGGCTTGCCAGGCAGTGTTTTCATTGGCAAGCTGTGCGGTTTTAGCTGGTTAGACGAACACTCTGGGGTCTCCAAGCCTTCGCTCTTGAAAACCTGAACCAAATGATCTCCAGAATTAGGTAACAACAACAACAACAAGATTTCATTTATAGAGTGCCTTTCACGTCGGGAGGACGTCCCAAGGCGCTGGACAGTTGGGTCAGGGGTAAGCAGCATGAGCCCTTTCAGGGAGAGTGCGCATTCCATTCCAATAAATATCTCTGGAATTTCCATATGTAGGTGTAATGCTCAGTTTGATCTGGATACTCTTTAGCACGGTCATGTGATTCCACATGTATCAAGATAAACTTCCAGCTGCCCAAACAAATATGCTTCTGGTGGTTAACATAGATTTACCTAGAATTGCATAGCATCCACAGAACTGAACCAACTAGTTCAATGTAGGTATTTATACACCACCCAAGCCTTCACCATCTTAAATCCCCCACACAAGCCTCCCCATGCTCAATCTATTCTCTTCGCCCTCCCGTATGCAATGACTGGTTAACAAAAACAAAGTAAGTTCATTTACTTAACAAGAAGTCTTTGGAAGCATTTGCTACTTGCCTCCACATAGTTGTACATGGCCAGATCTGAAATGGCATGATCATCAGGCACACGCAGTCTGGAAAACTCAGGAAGGCATTTGGCTGTAATGGAAAACCATATACCTTTTTTTTAACTTGCTCATAGCTCTGTGGGGATGAAGCTTTTTTGCCACTTGTCCCATCCCCCCCACTTCCCAAAATGAACTTGGTTAATAAAACATTTACATGTTTTAAAAGAATATTGCTGCAATTTTAGACAAGATTGAAAGATGAGAGAAAGATATTCCTTTCAATGTAACTTCAAATTGAATCGGATAAATATTTCAAGACAGATGATATACAAGAGTTTGGTGAAGAACAGGGAATTGGGATAACGTAACTGCATTCAGTGAAGAACTGAAACCCAAGTTGATCTTGTTAGGATCAGAGTTAAAATTGCTAGAAAGACAAATACTGATTTGGATTGTACTAGGACCAGGAAGCGCAGTGTATTAGGACACAGACATATTCTTTTCAGTCCTTAGTTTGAGTCAAGATCAGACTGACAAGTCTAATTCCATATTGCTGCAATTGTACTCAAAGCATCACTCAACACCTGTTAATAACATAAGTTGCTTTTGTCTGATTAAGAATAGTCAACATGAAATGTTGAAGTAAGACAACCATTGGCCTTGGGAGGACACAAGCTGTTTTGTAGTCAAAACGTCCGGTTCTTGAGATAAACAGAAGTAACAGCGTGCTTGACTCTGCGCAGTTGTGAAAGGCCTAAGTGCCTGATAATTGATTGGATGAACAAAAAGGTATAAAGTTGAAAGGTTGTTGACATAAAGCGGCAGATTTGGCATGGAACCCAGGCATGCAGAGGCGTAGGGCCAAAGCATGCTGACTGCTCCACAACCGTGTAATATATGTTTTACGTATTCTTGCTGTGCTTATATTTGAATATTGAGTATTTGAATAAACTGAGTTAGCCACAAAACTTTATTGTCTGGTCTTTGACTCGAACACTAGGAGTCAAAAGACTAGGTAAACAGAGGCCTGTGGAGTAAGGAAACTTGCCCAACATTCTGCCCTGCCAGGAATCAAACCCAGGTCTCTCGCTTGTGAGGTGAGGGCTCTAACACTGAGCTGCAGGACTCCACAATTAGGGTCATTCACATCTATTGTCCACCAAACATAGTCTACAAAAAATTGTTTTCTTCCAATGGTTCTACCTGCTACACTTAGCTTGAAATGTCTTCAATGTGGAATGATTTGCTGCTTGAATGTTGACAATCAGGCCAGTCATATGGCTATCCTTGAACCCATGTTATCCTGTAACTATGGTAATGTTTTGATCTCAACAATAAGTCCACAAGATTTTTAAACTCACAGAAATCATTGTGGAACTGATCCAGTAATTCATCAAAGACAAGGCAATCTTCAAAACCCTAGTGGGACAGAGGAAAAATTGTTTGTTACTATTGTTGTAACTTATTCATTACACAAAAATAAAACGCACTGTTCCACTGACCCAAGGCCACTGTACCCTTCTGTTAGAGCTGGGAAATTGAAAAAACGATTTCTAATGTAGAATAGTCTGAATTCCACCTTGTTCACCTTGGTAGACGAAAGAAGACCAAAGTCCAGCTTCTCTGAGCCTTCCAAGAACAAAGCCCATTTTGTCTCTTTGAGGTTGAGTATCCAGTTTTCTGCTTTTGAAATTCATCTCCAACCCAAAATCTTACAATTTACATCATGGCAGAGAGCATAAGAATGTAAGAATTGCTAGATGAAAAAAGACCAAGGTCCATCCTTTTTTTATCTAAGTTGCTTTTGAAAGAAGCAAATTAGATTGATTTGCTTCTTTCAAAATTAGATAGACAGGTAACAGAAGTTCATACACATTTATTCAGAATTGTGAAATATTACTATCCAACATCAAATCAGCTAACATTGGCACTGCCAAATATAACAAATTGAGAACTTAAGCATTTTATAGCATGTTATCTTGCCGAAACATCTCCAAGCACTTCATAGATAATTACTGCCAAGTGTAGTGACAGTTTCTGTAGACAAACAAGACACCTATTTGTATCAGCAATGTCCCACAAACAGCTTTGAGGTGAAATGGTCAATTAATCAGCAAGATTGTTGGCTGGGATGCAACAGTAATGTCATGGGATCCTTGTGAACCCAGAATTATGGGACAACAACTCCTACAATGCAATCTTTCCCTAATGCTGCATTGGAGTGCCTGGACTATAACTGTAACAGCAGTGTTCTGATGAACAACTTTTCTGCCAGCCTCTCAGGATTCTACTTCAATTTGTGGAGCAATCTTTTCCTAATTTAGAGCACATGGTGTACAAGCAGATATTAAATTAATAGTCTCATTCAGAGAGACAAAAGCAGTGATAGATGCAGAAGACGAAAATGTCACATTGGTTAAGTAGGGAAGATGTTTCTGATTGTGGGCTTAATGGATTCTAGTGGAACTAGATAAAGAGCTTTGCTTTGCAGCTGGCCATAATGGTCCACTGAGTGCTTGACACTGACACCAGGAAAAAAAAACATGGAATTTGGTTCCATTCCTCAACACTGGTGCACTTTGGACACAATATTAATAAAATAAAATGATAGGAAAACTAGAAATTATGTAGCTTTAAAAGAATGTTTGATTTTCAAAACGCACGACATGTAAACCAGAGACCCTGCTCTTGAGAAGCACTGCAAAATACCTCAGTACTTACTGCATTCATGCCTTGGCCATAAAATGGAACAATTGCATGAGCTGCGTCTCCCATGAGCATACATGTGGAGCCGATATGGTAAGAGCCGCATTTTACTGAGACCATTGCCTGGGCTGGCAGTAGGAAATAATCCCGCATCAATGACTCTCTGATAAAAGAAAAATATTATCAATCACAATGTACAACAAAACATTAATTTTAATACAATTAACACAACTAAGAACATTAATTTTCTGGCTTTATTTATAATAATAATACTATTCCTTGCATTTGATGTAACACCTTTCATATCAGGAGGACATCTCAAAGCACTTCATAAGATACACTACAAAATGAAGTGACTGTGAATTTGCAAGTCTTGTCCAACAAACAGATCCATGAGTAAATGAGCAAGATTTGCAAGGATCATTGGCCAGAACTTTGGGAGAAACTCCCTTCTCTTTTTAAATAGTACCATGGAATCTTTAACATCCATCTGAACAGGCAAATAGGAGCTTGGTTTAGCATCTCCAACAAAGCAAGCCCCCTGTCCCCAGTAATGTAATGGAGTGACAGAATAGCCCATGTGAGTTCATGATCCAGAGCTGAAACTCCTTTTAAGAAAATAAGAACATAACAAATAGGAGCAGGAGTAGGCTATTCGGCCGCTCGAGTCTGCCCCACCATTTAATAAGATCATGGCTGATCTTCTCACCTAATTTCATTTACCTGCCCTATCCCCATATCCCTTAATCCCTTTAGTTTTTAAAAATCTATCGATCGCAGCCTTGAATATGTTCAATGATTGAGCATCCACAGCCTTCTGGGGTGAGCATTCCATAAATTCACTACCCTCTGAGTGAAGAAATGTTTTCTCAACTCAGTTCTAAAGGGCTGACCTTTAATCCTGAGATTGTGACCCTAGTTTTAGATTCTACATCCGGGGGAAACAGTCTCACAATATCTACCCTATCAAGACCGTTAAGAATCTTATAGGTTTCTCTCCACCCTTCTTAAATATCGGCATTACATTTGCCTCCTTTCAATCAATGGGAACCATTCGAGAATCCAGAGAATTTTGGAAGATCAAAAACAATGCATTCACTATCTCTTCAGTCACCTCTTTTAAAACCCTAGGATGCGGGCCATTAGGTTCAGAGAATTTATTAGTTTTTAGTCCCATCAATTTCTCTAGTACTATTACTTTACTGATATTAATTTCTTTAAGTTCCTCACTAACATTAGTCTCTTGGTTCCCCACTATTTTTGGTAAGTTTTTAATATCTTCCAACGTGAAGACAGAAGCAAAGTATTTGTTTAGTGACTCTGCCATTTCTTTATTCCCCATTATAATTTTTTCCTGTCTTTGCCTGTAAGGGAACCACATTTACTTTTGTTAATCTCTTCCTCTTTATATACTTGTAAAAGCTCTTACAATCTGTCTTTATATCTCTCGCTAGTTTACTCTCAGATTCCATTTTCTCTCTCTTAATCAGTTTCTTGGTTATCCTTTGCTGACCTCTAAAGGCCTCCCAATCCTCAGGTGTTTAGCTCTTTTTGGCAATATTATAGGCCTCTTCTTTTAAGTTTATACTTTCCTTAACTTTTCTAGTTAGGCATGTTTGAACCACTTTCCCGTAGAATTTTTATTTCTCAAGGGAATATGCGTTCGCTGGGAATTATCTAATATATTTTTGAACGTTTGCCATTGCTTGTCTACCATCATATCTTTTAATATACTATCCCAGTCTATTTTAGCCAAATCATCCCTTTTACCTGCAAAGTTGGCTTTATTTAAGTTTAAGACCCTTGTTTCGGACTTAACTACATCACTCTCAAACTCACTATTAAATTCCATCATATTATGGTCACTCTGCCCTAAAGGATCCTTAACTTCCAGATTACTGATTAGTCCTGCTTCATTACACAATATAAGATCTAGGATCGCTGTTCCCTGGTTGGTTCCTCAGCATACTGTTCTTGAAACTATCTCTAATGCATTCCATAAACTCATCCTCTGATTTACTCTTGCCAATTTGGTTTTCTTAGTCTATATGAAGATTAAAATCACCCATTATTTTTATATTACCCTTGTTACATGCTCCTCTAATTTCCTGATTAATACTCTGCCCAATACTGTAACTGCTGTTCGGGGTCTATAAACTACTCCCACTAGTGTTTTCTGTCCCTTGTTGTTTCTTAGCTCCACCCATACTGATTCTACATCCTGATTTTTCTGGCTTAAGATCCTTCCTCTCCACTGTTTTTATCTCATCCTTTATTAACAGGACTATCCCCACAGCCCCTCATTTTCCATATTGCCTATCTTTCCTACACGTTAGGTATATGGAATGTTTAGCTCCCAACCTTGGTCTCCCTGTAACCACGTCTCAGTAATGGCTACCGGATCATACCCATTTATCTCTATGTGTGCCATTAGTTCATCTATCTGGTTATGAATGCTTCATGCATTTAGGTATAGCGCCTTTAATTTTTACTTTTTACTATTTCCTCTTCTCATTAATCCCTATTTTCTTTGTTAAACTCTTTGTCTCTACTTGACACACACTGTTCTTCATCTCTCAAATCGCTAATCTACTCTGCAGCCTTGACTACTCTTATTTGCTTTGTGAGCTTACTTTTAACTGTAAACCTCCCTCCCCACCTTATTAGTTTAAAGCTCTACCTACCTCCCTAGTTATTTGTGGTGCCAGGACACTGGTCCCAGCCCAGTTTAAGTGGAGCCCATTCCGATTGAAGAGCTCCCTCATTCTCCAATACTGTGCTAGTGGCCCATAAAATGAAACCCCTGCTCCCGCATCACTCTTTCAGCCACACGTTAAACTGCTTCGACTCAGAGGTAAAATGCTACCAAGTAACAACCATTTACATCCTTGCTAAGAAATCTCAAATAATTCTATAATAATTGCAGTGACATTGACCCACTATAAACATAATATCAGAGTACAGCTTGATTGATCTGATTAATTAGTTTTTAATTTTAAAGGACGTTTGTTATAAAATATACCATGTATGCCAAACCATACACCATCTTTGGCAATTAAATGAACTATCAAATTACTGGAAAGCATCTTCCAATAGCATGGTGAAGTTGTCACCAGAAACCAGGCAACCCCCGGAATGCAAAGTACGACTGAAATTATGCCTTCCAAGAGATGGTTCGCCTCTGATCAATAGAAGGTCTCTTACAAACAAAGCTAAGATCAGAACTCTGCAAAGTGAAGTCAAGATGGACTGTACTTCACACTTCACACAGTATTTAGTACAACAAATATATTAAGGCGTGTATATGCTCAATCTAATAGATGGATGAATAAGAATAATTATCCTTGTATTTGATATAGCACCTTATCACATTGTTGAGATGTCTTAAAGCACTGAATATGCAAAGAATATGTTATAAAGTGAATTGACTGTATTTTATGTGCAAATCTGTACAGTCTGATAGAGACAGTTAGCATTAATATAAAGAATAATCTTACATTCCTATTAGAGGGATGGAGTCTGGAAAATATTTCTTGAAAAACTGGAGCACTTCCTCCTCTGTAGTAAGCTTCTCAAAGTTTTCGAAAGGCATGAAGAGAGTGCAGGTGAAGGACTTGTCCTACCCACACAGCAACACAAAACATGATGTTAATGATGTAAAAGTGTGCCCCAATTCAGTTACTTTTCATTCCTCCCTCATGGATGGCTCAGTTGGTAGTACTCTTCGCTGTTTGTGGGAACTGGAAATTGACTGCTACTTTCACCTACAGATGTGTAGTCTACACTTTGCAATTACATGCAGTTCCATATGTAGTTGCACTTTACAGCAACTCCCATTGAAGTATTTTGAGAAGTTTCAATGTTTTAGGCACCTCAGAGTGTAAGGGCAAGCAACTCCACACTGTAATGGGAAGACAGTAGAGTTGGTGTTCTGTAATGAGGTCAAATAGGCCAAGGGACTTTCTTCATCTGAAGCAATCTTGCAGTACTCTTGTGAACAGCACAGCCTGTTTGGGGATGACTGGGGTAAATTGGTGGCTAAAGATTCAATGGCCAGACGAAACAACAAGGGTGAGAGATGTCAAACGCTTCTCTAGAGGATATGAGTGAAATCAAATGTTGAATCACCTTTGACCACTAACAGGGTTCTGCAATAATGCTGCCTTTCATCTCAGTCTGGGAATGAGTCACTTGGAGAACGACAATAATCCTTGCATTTGATATAGCACCTCTAACATTGAAACTTCTCCCAGCACTTTACTGGGAGTTATTGTCAAGTGTAATAAGTAACTGCATATTGGTAGATGAATCCAGCAGTCAATCTTACTCACAGATTGGTCTCACAGAAGTGAATGGTCAATTTTATCTGGAGGATTGTCTTAGATATAAGGGATGGTGGTGCAAAGGTTTAATCAGAAAACTTCCTTTCTGTAGTCAGGATGTCTGGATTGTATGATTGTGATCACAATGCTTCAACACCTATGAGAAGTAAATTGTAATGTTAAAAAAAATCAGATTAGTATGAGATTTAACAGATGTTTGTTTACAAATCTGGAATTTTTTGGATCTTACATTTTAAGGAAAGGCCAAGATATTCCTAATAGAAATCACATTTAAAGTTCTGTGTACCCAGTCTCAAGATATAAAGAAGCACATATAAGAAAAGTCAAACAATATCAGATTTAATTTTCTGTCTTTAGAACACAGTAATTTGTGAAGACTCAGTAATTCAGCCTTTCACAGTGACTAAAATTGTTGTATTTCTGCAATCACCTTTTGCCTTTTTTGTTGTATGAATCATCTAAGAGTCTTAGACTATAAACTAGGAGTGTCTAAAACTAGACTCTCCTAGTTTACATTATGTGTGCTGAGTGCAAAACTTTTTATTTTGTCGTTATTGAATTACTCTAACTACAAATCAACTATTTTGTTTCAACTGGCATAAGACTCAAGACAAATCATAATATTCCCTTATTCCAAAAGAGACTAACAGCTCAGCCAAAAACTGGGAATTAATATACTGGTTCCAAAGTATTTTGATGTTAACCCTAAAAGGATACTCGATGCAAAATGGCAAGTGCTACAAAGACACTGTTCCAGTTTTCTAGGAAACAAAGATCTGCTTCAGTGAATGGAGAGCATACCTCAAAAGGAAAGTTAAAGGAAGTTCTAAAAGCACTTTTTGAAATGAAAAAGAGAATGTTACTAGAGATGTAAGTAGCTAAGAATCGGAATGGAGGAGGAAAAGCAAACTAGAAACTTTCACCAAAAGAATTACTTCTAATCCTCACATTGAGAATCCCCAAAGTGCTCTGTGCACCAAATCAGAAGTCAGGGACTGGGCCAATGTATTGGAGTCATTGCTAATACCCAGTAGGGAGATGGATATTATCATAATAATAATCCTTGTATTTGATATAGCGCCTTATCACATCATGAAGACATCTCAAAGTGCTTCATAGGATATACTGTAAAGTGGATTGACTGCATTTTATGGGCAAAATGCAGCAGCCAATTGCGCATAGCATTGCTCGACAAATAGCATGGCGTGAATGATCAGTTTTATTTGGAGGATTTTGTTAGCCGGGACACCAGGAGAAATTCCCTTCTCTTTTCAAATAGCGCCATGGGATCTTTAACATCCACCTAAACAGACTGCTCCTTACATCACCATTTCTGGGTGGCATGGTGAGCTCCATGTAGCTGTATGGGATGTATAGTTTAACATCTCATCCGAAGGATGGGATAACATTACAGGTAAACTGAAATACCTCCAAAAGAAAAGTCGCGTCAGACCAAGCTGAATTGAAAGTTTATATGGCCAGCACTTTAGAGCCACAATTGAGAAAGGAAACATTTAAGCCATCCCCTGTTTTGTTCTTTAAAATCCAAGATATGATCTGTCACTCCAGGTAGAACTTTAATGATCAAAAGTGGACCAAGCAAAAGGAGATACATTTATTTTGACAGCAGGTGAATCATTTTAACCTCTGTAAAATAAAACATCTTATTAGCAGTTGAACTTTGTAACCATGTAGTGAGATTGTTCTCAATTGTCAGTGTGTTATGCCATAGTCATTACTGTCAAAGTAAGTTGCTGAATCACCAGCTCAAGCGCACGGGTTTGAGCTTTCAGGATGCTATCTTCCAGTGGCTGATGCTGAATAATTCAGGATTCTAGTAAGAAGTGGAAGCTGTTGAGAAAGCCTAACCTTTCAACCCTCAATTTCTCCTCTTTATAGGAGCATATCTCAGAAAAAGAAAAGCTAGTAACAAGAAGATATATGACACATTTTCTTCACAACACGTTTACACATATGTCACATTTAATGAATGATGCTCACCAGATTTGGTAAGGCGATCATCATGAAGGTATTTCTGGGCCAAATGTGAAGATAATTGGGCTCCATTGCAAACTGAAATTAAACATTGCATTGTTAACATTGTGTAATGTGAACAGCAGGCATACAGACTGTTAAAATGTGCCTCCAATGTAGACTGTTCCTTACATCCCCATTTCTGGGTGGCATGGTGAGCTCCATGTAGCCATGGGGGATATATGTCTGACTGTAGTTAAACCTTGGCTTTCGTATAAACTGTTTCCTCATTCTTGAAAAAGCCCCATCGCAGCCAACAACAAGGTCATAGCAAACCTCCACGACAGAACCATCAGGCCTGGTAGGAAGATAGACACATAAACATTTAAATCTGCAGCTTCCACCTCAGCAAGAAATGTTCAGATTCAAGAGAAGAGCCCTCAACACAACACTTTTAGGTCCACTCAGCTACAAATCTGCAGTTCTAATGATAACAAACACAATTTGCATTACTTAAAACTGATTTGATGGTGATCTCTGTAAACTGAGAAGGAAGAATAAACACACACGATATAGGGGGAGAGAGGTGCAATCGCTATTGCTGTATCAATTAAAGATGCATAACATGCCAATGCTGTCATGGATGTCTCCACGTCAAATTAAACCATGCTAAATTAAAAAAACACAAAAGTTATATAGGGGAAGAATTTGTGGTGTAACCAATTCTTTGTGTTAGCTCACACAAGGAAACAATGGGTGTTTGTAGGAGTTACCACCAGCACTGCTTATAATTGAACTTTCAAGTACAATGACAATTTTACATTTATGTAGCACCTTTCACATCAGAAGGATGCCCCAAGGCATTGGATAGTCCAGAGCTGTGTACGCAATAGTATGCAGGCACATTTCGGTAAAAATTCCACTTGGATCTGGATTTACTCAACCGAGCACTTTGAAGCATCCAGAATTTGTCAAATTCTTAAATGCAGTCTTTTATTTTGATGCTGTTTTTTGGAAGTCCCTTTAAATGGACTTCAAATTGTGTTTATCATCATTGGAACTGCAGGTTTGAATTAAACAAGTTACCAAATTCTGCTATGCTAATAAATCTAGACACCGGTGGAAGTTTAGCCCTATTATGTCCTGGGATATAGCTGTCAGTCAATCAGATGGCAGCAGATGCATAAATTAATTTTTAATAAATCGAGAACCTAAACTCTCATGGAAAGTAGCTGGAGATCCTACCTAACCAAACTTCAAGTGTTCAGACTAAACCAAGAACCTAGACTGGTTCATATTCCCCCAACTAAAACAAGTTGTACTTGAAAGTTCAATTATAAGCAGTGCTGGTGGTAACTCCTATAAACACCCATCGTTTCCTTGGGTGAGCTAACACAAAGAATGCCATATGCCTTATTTTCAATTCTGCAATCTGCATGAAACATCTAGCCTCAAACAATAAAGCGAAGGCTGAGAATGCACAGAACTGTGGAGCGTTTACCTGGTGAGCGATAACAACCTCTCCTCAACAGAGCAGTTTTGCAGCTTCTGTTCAAAGTTCAATGTGGTATTTGGGTACTGTTCAGCAGCTGCAAATCGAATTTTTACAAAGTGACTTCCAGTCAAACAATGGAAGGAAATCAAACGATTTTGAAAGAAGGTGACCTTCATTTACTCACCAGTTAACAATGCTCGATTTAAATTTGTCCTGTCCACTGATAGAATATACTGGAAAACAAAGATTAAACATCGATATGTATTTTGCAGGTGCAGGGACTTAGTATTATATCAAATCTACCGTAGCTAAACATGCCTTCCAGCCCAACTAGTCCATGCTGGAGATAATCAATCCTTCCTTCACGTGAATCTCTATCTAATCCCCCTCTTCTTCCCACCCCTTCCCTTTTTCTTCCCACCCCATGGCCTGAATAACAAGAAGGAAATCAAACAGGTTTAAGGACCATGATTAATTTACTATAGGAATTGTATAAACCCATGTTCTGCGTCATTTAGGATTTGAGGATAGTAACATTTTATGAACTCATTGTCACAATAAATCAACCAGTTATAAACTACCTGTCCTTTCTTTCCATAAGGAAAAGACGATTTTTTGCCTGAAAGTGAATGGATCATCCTGGCATTCATTTGAATGCCTTTGGACACAATCTGTAAAACAAACAATACAGAAGGATATCTTTTTGTAAAAAGTATAACTTTACTTTTATTACTTCCTAAAAGTTAAAATCGCTGAAGATCTTTTTTTATTCACTAATTTTAACCTTTTTGTGGATAAGGTTGACACTATACAAACTATGAGGGGATCTGAACTCCACCAATCTGGCAAATATCTCACTATCTTAATTGCCTTATTTATTGCAATTAACCTGACCCTGAGTAAAGTGCCATTTATTCCACAATTTAAAATGACTCTTTACAAATGCTGTACCTTAAGTGCAATAAATAAGGCAATTAAGATAGTGAGATATTTGCCAGATTGGTGGAGTTCAAATCCCCTCATAGTCTGTATAGTGTTATGGTCAGCTGCATTGGAGCACTGTGTGCAAATCTGAGTGCCCACAACATAAGGAAATTGCTCAGGCCCTGGAGGTAAAGGAGAATATGGGAGAGACTTGCACTCCTCAATTTGTCTTCCATTAGATTGTGGTGTGACCCTTGGTGGTTGTTACGGACACCCTGTTATTTGTTAGACTTTGCCTTCTAAAATAACATTTGTTTTCTGTAGAAAGTCTGTGTATACGATTTTGTGTTGAAAATAAGCCTTGCTTTAAGTGCGATTATGGCCCATACACCAAAATGTAATTTTAAAAGCAATATCTCCTTGGCAACATGAAGTCTGCGACCTGGGTGAATATTGATACAAAAAGGTGGGGAAAGCGTCACATGGGTTCGGGGGTGCGGAGACCCAGTGAAATTTCGGGGAAAGTATCTGTGGATACAATGTAAAAAGGGGGTGGAGCTAAATGACAACAACACAACAACAACAACAACAAGATTGCATTTATAGAGCGCCTTTCACGTCGGGAGGACGTCCCAAGGCGCTGGACAGTTGGGTCGGGACCCAAGCATTGGGGGGTAATGGTCAGGGTGAGGGGAGGGAAGGGAGGGAGCGAGGAGTCGGTAGAGAGTCCAGAGGGGAGCTAAAGGCACTTCAGCTTTTAAATGACCTTAAACTGCTTTTAAATGACCTTAAAAGGAGAGGGCTTGTTAGACTCGGGATGGTACTTTGCCTTAGTGTTATCAAGGAGATATGTATGTGACTTGAAAGGAGTTCCTCCAGGTCGTGATTGCTTCATCTTTGTTTATAACTTTAGATAAAGCTGCCAGTGTTATAGTTAAGGTGTCAGGGATTCTCTATTTCTTAACGTTGCGACAGTTTATATACTATCGGATCGTGTTTGTGAGGCTTAGGGTTGTTAGGGCCAATAAAACACTGTTGTGTTTTCTTAAAAGTGCTTCTCGAGTCTCTGTTAAATTCAAGGAGGGATGGAGACACACACTCACAGGTTAAAGCATTGTCTGGTAATGCGAAGAACTCTAACTGAAGCATCCCGTTCTTGGGACAACCTGTCGTTGTGTTAATTCTCATATAGTGAAGTTTCACACAGAGAGGGCACTTGCATGTCACAGAGAAGGATCTACACAGAGGCCACCTAGTACACAGTGTAGTTACATATAGAGGTATACATTTAGGGGTGAGAACCATCACATGGTACCAGAGGAAACAATAAATGGTAAGATAGACACATTTAACATTGCAAACTGGTCTGCTATTTGGAATATTGTCAATGGTTGTTCTGCTAGCTTCAGACATGGAAACTTTCTTCCATCTCACTACAGAGTAAAGCTGTCTTCGCTGTCAATTCTGACATCATATACCTAACATCAGATCTCATAACAAGAATGATGCTGATCAGAGGATGTTGACTCATCTTTAGCTTCAAATGTATCCACAGCTTGCTCCACATTAGATATGTGCATTCCTACTCTCTCGCCCACTGCCTCTGCTCCATTATATCGTGGGATACAGTATATAGTTTGGGACATGCCATGTGCATGCTAGGATGATGGAAGGTTAAACTGGATGGACCTCGGACTTCTTTCGTCCAGCAATTCATACGTTCTTATGTCTCCACTATCTTCATCTCACCAGTGGACAAGCTTTCAGCCATTTTGCCCCTGTTCTCTGAAACTTGCTTCCACTTACAAAACTCACCCATATACCTCCCTCTTTGAATGCATCTTCAGCCACCTCACCTTTACCCCCTATCTTCCACCCAGCTCATTGTCCTACTTCATCTCTGTAAAGCACTTTTAGATGTTCTCCTACATGAAAGTTGCTAACATAAGTGTAAATTCTTGTTGGCAAGCATATTTATTCCACATTAAATATGACATCTTGTGTAACAGGAATGACAAGATATGACAATATGACAAGAATGAGGAAGAAGTTTTAAAAGCTCCTATTACTGTTTATACCAGTCCACTTGACCTGACAAAGTATCTTGATTACATAGTTTTGAAGAGGAAAAACAGAATTTGAAAGAACCACCATCCCTACCTGCTCTTCTATTCCAACACTCTTCAGGGCCTGTCGTCCTCGGTGGGACAAAGCAAGATTGATGCTTCTCCCTCTTGCGATTTTGGCTTTTCGGATATCTGTCCAAAATAAAAGCCAGTCAGCTAACTTATAGATGCACCTTATTTAAATACTTCATTCCCTGGGAATATTTTCTGTGTGGCTTGGCAATTAGTTATGGAAGGCGCACTAGTAGAGGGTTTGGATTACTTCCAAGAGATCTGCACCTAAAAACTTTTTTTGTTTCACTGTTTTGCCTACCAAGAAGTTCTTGCCAGTGAGGCTTCCATGAAAACCGAGGATGAAGTTGTGTCCCCGGTGGAAAACAGAATCAATGTAGTCAAAGCTTAGTGTAAATAAACTGAATTTAGCAACACTTGTGAAACCGGCAGTGAAATGCATTAGTTGCTCCTGAATTACAATCCAATCCACTGGCTCAGTTTTAATTACTGTGCACAAAGGCTATTTGAGTACAGTTAAGTGAATAAATAGTTTGGTCACTCAATCTCCGATTGTTTGTGGGACACTGCTGTATGCAATTGGCTACTGCATTTCGCCCACAAAATATACAGTCAATTCACTTTACAGTATATTCTGTGAAGCACTTTGAGACGTCTCAAAGATGTGATAAGGCACTATATCAAATGCAAGGATTATTATTTCTCCCAAACTGTCCAAATTTTACAGGATCCAGCAGTATATAGAAGTTTGCACTTTTTGAAAGGTTTTTCCCAAAGCTTGCTTCTGTTCACCCGAAACTTTAGAAAAGTCAGTTTACAATATTTTACAGCGTTGGAGTTATTCAGAATGACAATCACTGACATCATCCTTCATCTGCCAGAGGAACATGACTTTTCAATTTTTGATAAACTCAGTCAGTTTCTTGAGTGCCAGGATAAGAACATACAGCAAAAGATATGTACAACTGTTAACTAAAGCTAACCTGGAAGCTTTGCTTATAATTTCACAAGAAATCTATGAGCCTGCAGACTTTCCATTCAATGAACTGCTGAATTTTTGCAAGAAGTCATAAGTTTATAAAAAACTTTTTTTTACTATCCTGCAAGGAACATGTTATAAATCAAAAATGTGTTCTGGTTGTGCTGTTCTTGTTACTGTGCAAGATTTTGTGCAAAAATATGTTTTCTCAAATGTGGTTTGTGAAATGTACAGAAATAAATGAAAAGCTAATTTTATGCACATCTCAAATGCTTTTCATTTAATGTGCTGTTGAATGACCAGCAGCTGGGTAGAGACGGGGTTTTAGGGAGCAGGTGGTGGGCTTCATGTGGGTGATGGTGGTTGAGAGGGAGGAAGGAGAAATGGGGTAAAGAGTGTAGGGTTGCGGCAGGGGTAGGAGCTATGACGGAAGGAATGTATGATGTAGAAGGTATGGGGGGTAGGGTACATGGAAGAGGAAGGACGCAGCCTAGTGGATTTTTCTATCTTTGAGACGAATAAATCAAGGACCTCTTCACACTGGATGTGAGGATCAAGGGTGCTTGAGGGGATACATGGAGGAGTTGATGACTGGTGGAGAATAGATTTTTGAGTTTTTTTTGCCTCCAGAATGATCTCCAGAAATTAATGTACAACTATTGATGTTTATAAGGGATTAAGTAAATGAGCACTTCCTAGATTCTCAGCCTACCAGATTTCATAGTAACTTTGAAAAAAATGTTCACCTGAAAATAATAGAGAATAAGTAAGAAAGACCCACCATCTCGTGCTTCATAAACATCCACTTGAAAACCTCTCTTAGAGAAGAAACATGCATTTAAAGCACCAACCTGGCAGAAACAAGTAATACAAATTATTTAATTGCAAAGAGAAATACAAAGTACTTCACATGGGGACACAAAATCCAAGAAGGGACATTTTATTTAAATGGTAGGAAACTAAACTGTATGGAAAATGAAAAGGACCTAGGGATCCTGTTTGAAGTTATCCCAACAGTGCTCAGTAGCAATGAGTAAGGTAAACCAGATGCTAGGCTGTATTAAAAGGACAATATTGAGCTGAAATGGTGGGATAATTGTACCACTTTCTAAATCACTGGTACGACAGTACTTGGAATACTGTGTGGAGTTCTGATCACCACAATATAAAAACAATATTGCAGCAATTGAGAGGATACAGAGGAGGGCAATAAAAATGATTGAGAGGATGGAGCGAATGGACTACGAGGAGCGATTAGATAAACTGGGCATGTTCACACTGGAAGAGAAGGTTGAGGGGCAATATGATTGTGGTCTTCAAGACTCTGAAGGAATTAGATAATGTAGACCATGTTAAGCTGCTTTATCTTGCACTGAACCAGGCCTGTGATTGAAGGGGGTAAATTCAGAACAAATCTGCAGAAACGGCTTCAGTGAGTGAGTATTAAACTTATGAAACGGGATCCCTAGGGAGACAGTGGAATCAGAAAATGTCATTTGTTTCAAGAACAAATTAGATAGACTTCTGGTAGAAAATAATATCTCAGGATGAAGTATATAATTTGGGACAAGACATGCTAAGTGACTGCCAGGATAGTGGAAGGCGAATTAGATGGACATTGGTCTTCTTTCGTCTAGCAAATTCTTATTTTCTTATGTTCTGATACTTTCCGGAATTAGGTAACAGGATGTGACCCTCCAATCTGTCTTTGGGATATCCATGTGTAGGTGGAATGCACGGAAATCTCAGCTTTGTTTGTATACTCTTAAGCATGGTGATGGGTTTCCGCATGTTTCAGATACCTGGCTGAACCCCCAAAAAAGGAATCGTGATGAATGTATGGGACAGGTTGTGGCTCTGTATGAGATCGCAGAACATTGTAAAGCTAGGGGAAACCCACTTACTTATGTACATCGATAATCCACATGGCTTTCAACCTAGTGCCTCATGAAGCCCTCATGATGAATCTGGAAGCCATAGGAATACATGACCAAATCTTTTTTTAATCCGGAATGTGAATTCCAGCTCCACGATCTGTGTAAGAGTCGAGAGTGGACTCACTGAGCCCAACCCTCTGGAAAGGGAAGTGAGGCAAGGCTAGGCTGCCAATTGTTACCCACCCTTATCAAAAAGGGTGGGTGACAATGGTCAATGTTGGACATGTTGGCATCGAGGGGGAAGGACTTGTGTATCTGTTCCAGGCCCCTCTGACGGGATTGTTTCGTTTCTGGTTGAGGATGATATTTGTGCTGCTGGCAGACTCATGTTGGGAACCTTTGAGCTACATCTGTGCATCTCACCTACACACGGAAATTCCAGAGATGTTTATTGGAATGGAATACATGAAAATTTTCTCCATGTAGGGACCCATCCTACTTAACTATTTTTGGAAAGTATTAGGCGCGAAAGCAAGAAGCAAGACTGGAAGGATTTGAGCCTTATAATAATAATAATACTTGCATTTGATATAGCACTTTTCACGTCTTCTCGATGTCTCAAATTTATGGGCCACTAGCATCAATATTGGGGAATGAGGGAGCTCTTCAATCGGGATGGGCTCCACTTAAACTGGGCTGGGACCAATGTCCTGGCAGCACGAATAACTGGGGAGGTAGATAGAGCTTTAAACTAATAAAGTGGGGAGGGAGGTTTACAGTTAAATGTAAGCTCACAAAGCAAATAAGAGAAGTCAAGGCTGCAGAGCAGATTAGCGATTTGAAAGATGAAGAATAGCGTGTGACAAATAGAGACAACGAGTTTAACAAAGAAAATAGGGATTAATGAGAAGGGGAAATTGTAAAAAGTTAAAATTAAAGGCGCTATACATGAATGCATAATAATAATAATAATAATAATCCTTGCATTTGATATAGCGCTTTTCACGTCGGGAGGACGTTCCAAAGCGCTTCACAGAATTTACTGTAAAGTGAGTTGACTGTATATTTGTGGGCGAACGCGGCAGCCAATTGCGCACAGCACTGTCCCACAAACAGTCGTAGATTGAAAATGACCAATTTATTATTGTTTTCGGTTTTGGAGGGATTATTAATAGGCGTGTGGAGTAAGGAAACTTGCCCAAGGTTTCGCCCTGCCTGGAATTGAACTCAGGTCTCTCGCTTGCAAAGCGAGTGCTCTAACCACTGAGCTACAGGACTCCACAAATGCACGAATGCATGAAGCATTCCTAACCAAATAGATGAATTAATGGCACAAATAGAGATAAATGGGTATGATCCGGTAGCCATTACTGAGACGTGGTTACAGGGAGACCAAGGTTGGGAGCTAAACATTCCATATACTTGATGTGTAGGAAAGATAGGCAATATGGAAAACGAGGGGCTATGGGGATAGTCCTGTTAATAAAGGATGAGATAAAAACAGTGGAGAGGAAGGATCTTAAGCCAGAAAAATCAGGATGTAGAATCAGTATGGGTGGAGCTAAGAAACAACAAGGGGCAAAAAACACTAGTGGGAGTAGTTTATAGACCCCGAACAGCAGTTACAGTATTGGGCAGAGTATTAATCAGGAAATTAGAGGAGCATGTAACAAGGGTAATATAAAAATAATGGGTGATTTTAATCTTCATATAGACTAGGAAAACCAAATTGGCAAGAGTAAATCAGAGGATGAGTTTATGGAATGCATTAGAGATAGTTTCTAGAGCAGTATGCTGAGGAACCAACCAGGGAACAGCGATCCTAGATCTTATATTGTGCAATGAAGCAGGACTAATCAGTAATCTGGAAGTTAAGGATCCTTTAGGGCAGAGTGACCATAATATGATGGAATTTAATAGTGAGTTTGAGAGTGATGTAGTTAAGTCCGAAACAAGGGTCTAAAACTTAAATAAAGCCAACTTTGCAGGTAAAAGGGATGATTTGGCTAAAATAGACTGGGATAGTATATTAAAAGATATGATGGTAGACAAGCAATGGCAAACGTTCAAAAATATATTAGATAATTCCCAGCGAACGCATATTCCCTTGAGAAATAAAAATTCTACGGGAAAGTGGTTCAAACATGCCTAACTAGAAAAGTTAAGGAAAGTATAAACTTAAAAGAAGAGGCCTATAATATTGCCAAAAAGAGCTAAACACCTGAGGATTGGGAGGCCTTTAGAGGTCAACAAAGGATAACCAAGAAACTGATTAGGAGAGAGAAAATGGAATCTGAGAGTAAACTAGCGAGAGATATAAAGACAGATTGTAAGAGCTTTTACAAGTATATAAAGAGGAAGAGATTAACAAAAGTAAATGTGGTTCCCTTACAGGCAAAGACAGGAAAAAATTATAATGGGGAATAAAGAAATGGCAGAGTCACTAAACAAATACTTTGCTTCTGTCTTCACGTTGGAAGATATTAAAAACTTACCAAAAATAGTGGGGAACCAAGAGACTAATGTTAGTGAGGAACTTAAAGAAATTAATATCAGTAAAGTAATAGTACTAGAGAAATTGATGGGACTAAAAACTAATAAATTCTCTGAACCTAATGGCCCGCATCCTAGGGTTTTAAAAGAGGTGACTGAAGAGATAGTGAATGCATTGTTTTTGATCTTCCAAAATTCTCTGGATTCTCAAACGGTTCCCATTGATTGAAAGGAGGCAAATGTAATGCCGATATTTAAGAAGGGTGGAGAGAAACCTATAAGATTCTTAAGGGTCTTGATAGGGTAGATATTGTGAGACTGTTTCCCCTGGATGTAGAATCTAAAACTAGGGTCACAATCTCAGGATTAAAAATCAGCCCTTTAGAACTGAGTTGAGAAAACATTTCTTCACTCAGAGGGTAGTGAATTTATGGAATGCTCACCCCAGAAGGCTGTGGATGCTCAATCATTGAACATATTCAAGGCTGAGATCGATAGATTTTTAAAAACTAAAGGGATTAAGGGATATGGGGATAGGGCAGGTAAATGAAATTAGGTTAGAAGATCAGCCATGATCTTATTAAATGGCGGGGCAGACTCGATGGGCCGAATAGCCTACTCCTGCTCCTATTTGTTATGCTCTTATTTTCTTAAAGGAGTTTCAGCTCTGGATCATGAACTCACATGGGCTATTCTGTCATTTCATTACATAACTGGGGACAGGGAGCTTGCTTTGTTGGAGATGCTAAACCAAGCTCCTATTTGCCTGTTCAGATGGAAGTTAAAGATTACGTGGTACTATTCAAAAAGAGAAGGGAATTTCTCCCAAAGTACTGGCCAACAATCCTTGCAAATCTTGCTCATTTATTCATGGATCTGCTTGTTGGACAAGACTTGCAAATTCACAGTCACTTCATTATGTAGTATATCTTATGAAGTGCTTTGAGATGTCCTCCTGATATGAAAGGTGTTACATCAAATGCAAGGAATAGTATTATTATTATAAATAAAGCCAGAAAATTAATGTTCTTAATGGTGTTAATTGTATTAAAATTAATGTTTTGTTGCACATTGTGATTGATAATATTTTTCTTTTATCAGAGAGTCATTGATGCGGGATTATTTCCTACTGCCAGCCCAGGCAATGGTCTCAGTAAAATGCGGCTCTTACCACATCGGCTCCACATGTTTGCTCATGGGAGACGCAGCTCATGCAATTGTTCCATTTTATGGCCAAGGCATGAATGCAGTAAGCACTGAGGTATTTTGCAGTGCTTTTCAAGAGCAGGGTCTCTGGTTTACATGTCGTGCGTTTTGAAAATCAAACATTCTTTTAAAGCTACATAATTTCTAGTTTTCCTATCATTTTATTTTATTAATATTGTGTCCAAAGTGCACCAGTGTTGAGGAATGGAACCAAATTCCATGGNTTTTTTTCCTGGTGTCAGTGTCAAGCACTCAGTGGACCGTTATGGCCAGCTGCAAAGCAAAGCTCTTTATCTAGTTCCACTAGGATCCATTAAGCCCACAATCAGAAAAATCTTCCATACTTAACCAATGTGACATTTTCGTCTTCTGCATCTATCACTGCTTTTGTCTCTCTGAATGAGACTGTTAATTTAATATCTGCTTGTACGCCATGTGCTCTAAATTAGGAAAAGATTGCTCCACAAATTGAAGTAGAATCCTTATAGCTGGCAGAAAAGTTGTTCATCAGAACACTGCTGTTACAGTTATAGTCCAGGCACTCCAATGCAGCATTAGGGAAAGATTGCATTGTAGGAGATGTTGTCCCATAATTCTGGGTTCACAAGGATCCCATGACATTACTGTTGCATCCCAGCCAACAATCTTGCTGATTAATTGACCATTTCACCTCAAAGCTGTTTGTGGGGCATTGCTGAAGTTGTCTTGTTTGTCTACAGAAACTGTCACGACACTTGGCAGTAATTACCTATGAAGTGCTTGGAGATGTTTCGGCAAGATAACATGCTATAAAATGCTTAAGTTCTCAATTTGTTATATTTGCAGTGCCAATGTTAGCTGATTTGATGTTGGATAGTAGTATTTCACACTTCTGAATAAATGTGTATGAACTTCTGTTACCTGTCTATCTAATTTAGATTGATTTGCTTCTTTCAAAAGCAACTTAGATAAAAAAATGGATGGACCTTGGTCTTTTTTCATCTAGCAATTCTTACATTCTTATGCTCTCTGCCATGATGTAAATTGTTAAGATTTGGGTTGGAGATGAATTTCAAAAGCATAAAACTGGATACTCAACCTCAAAGAGACAAAATGGGCTTTGTTCTTGGAAGGCTCAGAGAAGCTGGACTTTGGTCTTCTTTCGTCTACCAAGGTGAACAAGGTGGAATTCAGACTATTCTACATTAGAAATCGTTTTTTCAATTGCCCAGCTCTAACAGAAGGGTACAGTGGCCTTGGGTCAGTGGAACAGTGCGTTTTTTTTTGTGTAATGGATAAGTTACAACAATAGTAACAAACAATTTTTCCTCTGTCCCACTAGGGTTTTGAAGATTGCCTTGTCTTTGATGAATTACTGGATCAGTTCCACAATGATTTCTGTGAGTTTAAAAATCTTGTGGACTTATTGTTGAGATCAAAACATTACCATAGTTACAGGATAACATGGGTTCAAGGATAGCCATATGACTGGCCTGATTGTCAACATTCAAGCAGCAAATCATTCCACATTGAAGACATTTCAAGCTAAGTGTAGCAGGTAGAACCATTGGAAGAAAACAATTTTTTGTAGACTATGTTTGGTGGACAATAGATGTGAATGACCCTAATTGTGGAGTCCTGCAGCTCAGTGTTAGAGCCCTCACCTCACAAGCGAGAGACCTGGGTTTGATTCCTGGCAGGGCAGAATGTTGGGCAAGTTTCCTTACTCCACAGGCCTCTGTTTACCTAGTCTTTTGACTCCTAGTGTTCGAGTCAAAGACCAGACAATAAAGTTTTGTGGCTAACTCAGTTTATTCAAATACTCAATATTCAAATATAAGCACAGCAAGAATACGTAAAACATATATTACACGGTTGTGGAGCAGTCAGCATGCTTTGGCCCTACGCCTCTGCATGCCTGGGTTCCATGCCAAATCTGCCGCTTTATGTCAACAACCTTTCAACTTTATACCTTTTTGTTCATCCAATCAATTATCAGGCACATAGGCCTTTCACAACTGCGCAGAGTCAAGCACGCTGTTACTTCTGTTTATCTCAAGAACCGGACGTTTTGACTACAAAACAGCTTGTGTCCTCCCAAGGCCAATGGTTGTCTTACTTCAACATTTCATGTTGACTATTCTTAATCAGACAAAAGCAACTTATGTTATTAACAGGTGTTGAGTGATGCTTTGAGTACAATTGCAGCAATATGGAATTAGACTTGTCAGTCTGATCTTGACTCAAACTAAGGACTAAAAGAATATGTCTGTGTCCTAATACACTGCGCTTCCTGGTCCTAGTACAATCCAAATCAGTATTTGTCTTTCTAGCAATTTTAACTCTGATCCTAACAAGATCAACTTGGGTTTCAGTTCTTCACTGAATGCAGTTACGTTATCCCAATTCCCTGTTCTTCACCAAACTCTTGTATATCATCTGTCTTGAAATATTTATCCGATTCAATTTGAAGTTACATTGAAAGGAATATCTTTCTCTCATCTTTCAATCTTGTCTAAAATTGCAGCAATATTCTTTTAAAACATGTAAATGTTTTATTAACCAAGTTCATTTTGGCGAGTGGGGGGATGGGACAAGTGGCAAAAAAGCCTCATCCCCACAGAGCTATGAGCAAGTTTAAAAAAAAGGTATATGGTTTTCCATTACAGCCAAATGCCTTCCTGAGTTTTCCAGACTGCGTGTGCCTGATGATCATGCCATTTCAGATCTGGCCATGTACAACTATGTGGAGGCAAGTAGCAAATGCTTCCAAAGACTTCTTGTTAAGTAAATGAACTTACTTTGTTTTTGTTAACCAGTCATTGCATACGGGAGGGCGAAGAGAATAGATTGAGCATGGGGAGGCTTGTGTGGGGGATTTAAGATGGTGAAGGCTTGGGTGGTGTATAAATACCTACATTGAACTAGTTGGTTCAGTTCTGTGGATGCTATGCAATTCTAGGTAAATCTATGTTAACCACCAGAAGCATATTTGTTTGGGCAGCTGGAAGTTTATCTTGATACATGTGGAATCACATGACCGTGCTAAAGAGTATCCAGATCAAACTGAGCATTACACCTACATATGGAAATTCCAGAGATATTTATTGGAATGGAATGCGCACTCTCCCTGAAAGGGCTCATGCTGCTTACCCCTGACCCAACTGTCCAGCGCCTTGGGACGTCCTCCCGACGTGAAAGGCACTCTATAAATTAAATCTTGTTGTTGTTGTTGTTACCTAATTCTGGAGATCATTTGGTTCAGGTTTTCAAGAGCGAAGGCTTGGAGACCCCAGAGTGTTCGTCTAACCAGCTAAAACCGCACAGCTTGCCAATGAAAACACTGCCTGGCAAGCCTTCCTACTGCTTTTCCAGCTAGGCCCACCCTCCTGTTAGTGGTTGGCTTGCAGGGTTAATGGAAGCTGAGTGGGAAGAATCTGTGACAGTAACTATATCTACCTTGAGGGCGTTGCACTATCTAGTTTGTGTAATTCTGGCAGGACTTGTAGCAGATGAATGCAATGTTAATGTTCACAAAAACCTTTATACATACAGTATATATCAAAAACAAATGCAAATTTAAGGAATTAGACCTTCTGACCTCCATGCTTATAAATCGCTAAGTTATTATGTTTTTGCATTGTTTTGTTCTGCAAAATTGCAATCATAAAATATTGATTTCTGAATAGGTATTTCTCTTTCCAGATGCGTATGCATGTGAACTCAAAGTGGTTTATGTTCCGTGAATACTTGGACAACTTCCTCCATTTCATGATGCCAAGGACCATTGTGCCCTTGTACACAATGGTGAGATCATATCACGACACAGTCACAGCGCAATCCACTTGATGCCCAACTGCATCATGTGGAAACTGATCAAGTTGAACACTGACATGAGCTTCTAGATTTAATCCTTCACATTATCTTTTGTTTTAACTGCAGGTTACTTTTACTCAAATACGTTACCATGAAGTGATAAAGCGATCGAAATGGCAAACTAAGGTACAGTTAACATTTTAACCTTTATAAAAAGTGTTTTAAGCTACAGTGTACTGAGGACGTGCGGACTGTATGGGGACAAGACTGCTAAATGGGATTCAAAGATCTACCATTATCTAACAAACTGGCAGAATGGAATTGCTGGGCTGAATGGCCTCCTCCTGTTCCAATTAATCATTCCTTTGACTCCACGTTCTGAACACGAATTACTGTCATAAATAGCACTAGAGGCAGTAATGCTGGGCCTAAGACAAATCATATAACTGTTTAATTTAAGATGTGAGGTTTTTAAAAGAGGTGGCTGCAGAGGTAGTGGATGCATTGTTTTTGATCATCCAAAGTTTCCTGGGTTCTGGAACGGTTCCCGTTGATTGGAAGGTCACAAAGGTAACGCTGCTATTTAAGAAGAGTGGGGAGAAATAATGGGGAACTATAGACCAATTAGCCTGATATCGGTGGTATGGAAAATTCTAGAGTTTATAATTAGGGACGTTGTCGTGGGGTACTTAGAAAGGCATAATATGATTAGGCAGAGTCAACACGGTTTTATGAAAGTTAAATCGTGTTTAACAAATCTTTTAGAGTTTTTTGAAGATGCAGCTAGCAGGTTACTCAGGGGGGAAACCAGTGGATATAGTGTATTAGAATTTTCAGAAGGCATTCGACAAGGTGCCACATAAAAGGTTGTTACATAAGATTAGGGCTCGTGGAATTAGGCAAAACTAGTGAAGTGACACAATGATCAGTGCTTGGGCCTCAACTGTTTACAGTCTACGTCAATGACTTAGATGAGGAAAGCTTAATGTACCTAAATTCGCGGATGATACAAAGCTAGGTGGGAAAGTAAGTTGTGAGGAGGCCCCAAGGAGGATGCAAAGGGATATATACAGGTTAAGTGATTGGACAAGAAGGTGGCAGATGGAGTATAATGTGGGGAAGTGTGAATTTATTCACCTATGTAGAAAAAATACAAAAGCAGATTATTTTCTAGAGGGAGAGAGACTAGATAGTATTAAGAGGAATTTAGGTGTCCTTGTACACCATCACAGAAAGTTAGTGTGCAGGTGCAGCAAGCAATTAGAAAGACTAATAGCATGTTAATGTTTATCGCAAAGGGGTTAGAGTACAAGAGTAGGGAAGTCTTGCTGCAATTGTATAGGGCCTTGGTGAGACCGCACCTGGAATATTGTGTGCAGTTTTGGTCTCCTTATCTAAGAAAGGATATACTCGCTTTAGAGTGGGTGCAATGTAGGTTTACTAGGTTGGTTCCTGGGATGAGGGGCTTGACCTATGAGGAGAGGTTGAGAAAACTAGGTCTATATTCTCTGGAATATAGAAGAATTAGAGGTGATCTTATAGCAGCCTATAAGATTCTTAAGGGTCTTGACAGGGTAGATATTGTGAGACTATTTCCCCTGGTTGTAGAATCTAAAACTATGGGTCATAGTCTCAGGATTAAAGGTCAGCCTTTTAGAACTGAGTTGAGAAAACATTTCTTCACTCAGAGGGTAGTGAATTTATGGAATTCTCTACCCCAGAAGGCTGTGGATGCTCAATCATTGAACATATTCAAGGCTGAGATTGATAGATTTTAAAAACTAAATGGATGTGGGGATAGGGCAGCTAAATGGAATAGGTTACAAGATCAGCCATGATCTTATTAAATGGCGGGGCAGACCCGAGGAGCCGAATGGCCTACTCCTGCTCTTATTTCTACTGTTCTTACAAGGCTTATGCAAGTTTTATTGTATTATCATATGTGAAAGGCGCTATATAAGGTGCTATTCCAATGCAAGTTGTTGTTGTTGTGATTATTAAAATGCTCCTTTGCCTTGCAGGTAATCAATGCAGGGTTATGTGTGTTGGGAGCAGCAGCAACAGCCACTGGGATATATGTACTGCACAAGTTCAGCAATGTGAATATCCATATGGAAAGGATCAGGAATTTGATTTTCATCTTTAAGTAACTGGGAGTAATTGAAAGTGATTGGGATCCTTGTAGTTAATATTGGAACACCCTGATTGTGATTCTATGTTAATATAAGCTGCCCACTTAGAGCTACTCACTGTCTGTAAGGGCTTTTATGTTGAATAACCATGGGGTTTTGTCCACTGGCAGTGCTGAGCTCATTAATTTTTTTTGGACTTTGCCAGCTTTATAATTAGCCATTTTATGAATTTGTGAAGTAAACCNTTTTTTTGCAAACTAGACGTTGGAGCAAACTTACTGAGAAACCTATTTACATACAATACCCACCAGACTTCATTGTGGGATATGAAAATTGAACCAAAATAAATATTAACCACAGACGAGAATGATTATCTCCCTCCACCCTATTCCTGGACAAATGCTCATCGATACCTCCATAGATAGAAAGGAGTGAATAAAGCTCAGACTGGGAGAACTCCTTCCTCCCTCTCCCACCTCCCTCACAATATGCATCTACACATCTCTCTTTTGCTGGCTTCACAAGGCAGAAAACTAGAGTATATTACGACAAAACAGGAAACAAAATAATTTTTTGGGGGGAGGGGGGCAGAGAGTATTTCCAAAAAAATTCTTCCTTGATTTCCGAGGGCACCAGTGGCTGTTTTCTATTGAGTGTGGCTGGGCTTTGAGTGAGGTGGTTGCAAGGTCTTTTGGTGTCATTTATTTTATAGTTCAGTCACCTTGATCAAATTTGTGCTCATTGATCAGCTTTTACTGAATGTGTAACTGAGGGATTAAGGATTATCAGGGTAAATATCGTGAGACTGTTTCTCCTGGTTGGAGAATCTATAACTAGGGGTCATAGTCTCAGGATTAAATTAGCCCTTCAGAACTGAGTTGAAAAAACATTTCCTACAGTTGAATGTGAACAAGAGGAGAGGACACGGGCTGCAGAGTTCTGGATTATATGCAGCCTGTGAAGGGAGGAATTGGGAAGGCTGACAATCAGGGAGTTTTCATAGTTGAGCCTGGAGGTGATGAAGGCATGAACAAGAATTTCAGCGACCTGAGGTAGTGGCAGAGTCGGGCAACGTTACGAAGTTGAGGGAAAGCAGAGAGGGTCATGGCTTGAGTGTGGGGGAGAAAAGACAGTTGAGGGTCGAACAAGACACCTAGGTTCCTGACTGGCTTGGTGAGTTGTAGTGTGCAAATAGTAACAAATGATAAGAATAAGAGGAATAGCAATCACAATAAAGGGAATAGTAATAATAACAAAAGTAATAACAATAACAGGAATATCAATAACAATAATGGGAATAGTAATAATAATAGTAATAATAAACAGGAACAGCAATAAATGCAAGCATAGTAATAACAACAGTAATTACAATGACAGGAACACCAATAAAGCAGATATCAGCACCAACTAGCATCCTGTAGATTATTTGTTTATGAACATTCTTAAAGAACATTCATTTGCAACATCTTTTGGAAAATACTTAAGTAATACATTTTTTTCACCATGCGCTAAATGTTGCTCAGACATGATTTTGACTATTTATGCATAAAAACGGTGTGTACTTTTTTAAAAAAATGAATCATTTGGGGATCAAAAAGGCATTTTGCTTCACCTCCGCCCCAAAGAAGGAATCCTAAATGTTTAACCTTTTGCAAGTCAATGATAAGAGCAGGTGATCGGGAAACAAAGCGAATGGCAAAGGGCTTGTCACTAAACCTGGCGACTTTCATAATGTGGACCGACTTTGGGAGTGAGTTCCACTATATAAGTACACTTGATAAAGCTGCCACACACAGCAACAACCTTTATACCGGATTTTTAAATTGGCACAACTTCCCAAATTCACTCCTGCGCAAAACAATTATTGTAAATATCTTGGAAAGTCCGATTCTCACCAAGCCACCGCCAATTATCACCACTTTCTTCAGCTTCTCATCATCTGAAACAACAGGGCTGCAAAACGGTTGCATCTTGCAGATTTGTTAACCTGGCAATTGGGTTTACAATTCACTGGTTGCTCAGCTCCAACTCTGACTTAAATGAGACTCATCAGTTTGGGAAGGAGGGACTTAATTTGGGTATGACCTCAGAAAGGGAAGGCACTATGTGAAACTGCTTCTGTGCCATTACCTAAATTACTCTTTATCAAGTAATCTATTTGGGTAAACTAATAAAATAATAATCCTTGCATTTGATATAGTGCCTTATCACATCTTTGAGACGTCTTTTTGTAAAAAACAGTGATCCTCTCATGTTACTTCCGCTCATGGGCTTAATGTTATCTTTAAGATACGGGATTCATTGGCTCAAGGGGCAACAGAAAAGACAGTAGGGTCTGATGTGGGACCCATTTAGAGTAAAACTGGACATTTTGGGAAGATAAATTCTTCCCAGTATTCTTACCCCATACAATAATAATAATCCTTGCATTTGATATTGCACCTTATCAAGTCTTCAAGACGTCTTAACAACAAGATTACCTTAAAGCGCTTCACAGAATATACCGTGAATTGGCTGTATATTTTGTGGGAAAAACACAAAACATCTATTTTTTCAGAATGAAAACAAACTAGTGAATTGTTTTTCACTCCACCAATGGGAAAAATACATTCAGTCAGAAGTCAGATTAAACTATAGTAGGTGTTTATCTGCGTGAGAACAGTAGTTGAGGTTGTAGGACTGTTAGCTTGTTCGTCAGACATCAAGGCCTGGGTGAACGCAAACTTCCTGCAGCTGAATATTGCAAAACAGAAGCCATAATTCTTGGCTCCCATCTACATCTTCTCTACTCAGGAAAAACTGATATTTTGATTACGCAAAAATTCCAAGTTGCTTCCTGAGGCCGATTAATACAGTACATTACGTGTATCTAAAGAAAATCTGCTAAAATCGTATTGTCTGGAAACATGCCAATTTTATATCACAAGTTTGTTTGTAGAGACAGGTTCACCTCTAGCGGCAACAGTAATGAAAAGTTGACAAAGTTCTACATAATGTCCATAAACTTTTCTCAAGGTCAGTACTCCTGTTGCCTCTATACTGAGTGGTCTCCATCTGTAGAATGAAAACGACGGCTCTGATTAAAGCCTTCTTAGATGCAATATTCACTGAGGTGCAACATTTATCTGTTGTTGTGTACCAATATAATTGCTCTGTTTCCTTATAGCTTGTTCTGGGATTCAGCCTGCCTGAAAATTACTCCATACCACGATATTTGCCCTTTTAAACTCTGTCCATTTTTATGTGTGACAGAACGACTTCTCTCTGATTGCATCTCATGTTAAACATCATGCAACTACTTGTGCACACGAGCCAGTGAACTGCTATCTATGTCAATAACAGTGGAATTTGCCTTGTTTTTAAGCTGACTTGTGGTTAAATTTTGAACTGAGTTTATTTAATGTTTAACAAGGCAGCAATACTGGCTAAATATTAGGAAAAAATATAAAAAGGACAATTACTGTCAAAGAATGAAATTATTATCCATTCGGTAATTAACAACAATGTCAAAATTACATTTGTATAGCGCCTTTCACATCGGGAGGACATCCCAAGGTGCTGGGCAGACAGAGTTACAGACCCGATCAGGGGGTCGGGGTGGGGGAGGTTCGAGGGCGTGGGGGAAGCAAGGAGATCGAAAGTACGGTCAAAGAGGAGGATTGAGACAGGTCTTGAAAGTGGCGAGGGAGGGGGCGAGACAGGGGGACTGCGGGATGGAGTTCCAGAGGGTGGGGGCAGAGTGGCGGAAGGCCCGGCCGCCAGTAATGGGGCAAGCAAGGCAGGGGACGTGAAGCAGGCCAGAGCCCGCTGAGCGGAGCGAGCGAACAGGGTGGTAGGGGGTTAGGAGATCATGGAGGTAAGGGGTAGCAAGACCGTGGAGGGCTTCGAAGGTGAGGACCAGGATCTTGAACTGTATCCTCTGTGTGATGGGAAGCCAGTGGTGTCGGGCGAGGATGGGGGTGATAGGGTCGTGGAGTCTGGTGCGGGAGAGGACACGGGCTGCAGAGTTCTGCATGATCTGCAGCCTGTGGAGGGAGGAGTTGGGGAGGCCGACAAGCAATGAGTTTGCATAGTCGAGCCTGATGTAATGAAGGCATGTTTGAGGATTTTGGCCACCAACTTACTGGTCACCCAGCTTCCCCTCCTCTGTTCACTACTGGCTGACGTCACCAACCAGTCCCTCTCCTCTGGATCAGTCCCTGCCTCCCTCAAAACTGCTGTCATCACCCCCTCCTGAAAAAACCCTCCCTAGATCCCTCAAACCCCAGCCACTACAACCCCATTTCTAACCTGCCCTTCCTCTCAAAAGTAGAACGCGTTGTTGCCAATCAACTCCACGCACACCTCTCCTCCCACTCCCTCTTTGAACCCCTCCATTCCGGTTTCTGCCCTGCCCACAATACAGAGACTGCGCTTGTGAAAGTCACAAACGACATCCTCTCTATCTGTGACAAGGGCTCCCTCTGCCTCCTTGTCCTTCTGGACCTTTCCGCGGCATTCGACACAGTCGATCACGCCATCCTCCTCCACTGCCTTTCCTCCGTCATCCACCTCAGTGGGACCGCACTCACCTGGTTCGAGTCCTACCTCACAAACCGCCAGCAGTACATCTGCACAAACGGCTTCTCCTCCCGCTCTCACCTGGTTACCTCCAGAGTACCCCAAGGATCCATCCTTGGCCCCCTCCTCTTTCTGATCTACATGCTCCCTCTTGGGGATGTCATTCTCAGACATGGGGTACATTTCCACATGAATGCAGATGACACCCAACTCTATTTTTCCACCTCTCTTTGTGGCCCCCAGTCCCCTGATGTTCTGTCAGCCTGCCTGTCAGATCTCAGGGGCTGGATGAGCACAAATCTCACGGCTCTCATCTCCTCCACCTACCAGTCCTCCCCCTAAAACTCTCCGTACCCGTACGCAACCTAGGCGTCAGGTTCGACCCCCAATTATCCTTCCTCCCCCACATCCGGTCCCTCACCAGCACCGCCTTCTTCCACCTCCGACGCATTGCCCATCTCCGCCAAGACCTCCCCCCAAAAGCCACTGAAACCCTGGTCCATGCCTTTGTCACCTCTCAGCTGGACTACTCCAACGCCCTCCTCGCTGGTCTCCCATCCACTACCATCCATAAAATCCAGATCATTCAAAACACTGCCGCCCGCATTCTCACCCGCACGAAACTCGGTTCCCCAAACACACCAGTCCTCCAACTGCCTGGCTGCCTATTCAAGTCCTCACTCCTCTACACCCCCTACCTCTCTGACCTCCTCTCTCCTCAAAACAGTTCCCGTTGCCTTCGTTCCTCTGGGTCTGGCCTCCTCCCTCGTTCCCCGAGTCCTCCGCTCCGCCCTTGGCGGCCGTGCCTTCAGCCACTATGCCCCAAGGCTCTGGAACTGCCTTCCTCACTCCCTTCATCTCGCTCCCTCCCTTCCCATTTTCAGGTCTCTGCTGAAGACCTTTCTTTTCGACCGCGTCTTTGGTCCCTTCCTCCCCCTCGCTCGGTCCCAGGATCCATGATTGTAAAGCGCTTTGAGACGCTGTCCGGCGTGGAGGGCACTATATAAATCCAAGTTGTTGTTTGGCAGCCTGTGGTGTGAGACAGTGACGAAGCTGGGTGAGGTTCCGGAGGTGGGGGAAGGCAGAGCGGTTCATGGTGCAGATGTGGGGTACAAAGGATAGTTGAAGGTCAAACAAGACCCCAAGGTTCCGGACTGGCTTAGTAAGGTGGAGTGTGTAACCATGGACGGTGATGCTGTCAGCGCCTGAGGTGAGGAGGCGCTGACGGAGTCAATCAGGAGAGCCTCGGTCTTGTTGACGTTCAACTGGAGAAAGTTAGCTCTCATCCAGGACTTGATGTGGAAATGCAGTGCAGGCGCTGTGAGAGGTACGATCTGAACCAATCAAGGACAGCGCCGTAGAGGTTGAGGTGAGAGGAGAAGTGGTGGATGAGGATAGAGTGGTCGATGGTGTTGAAGGCAGCAGAGAGGTCAAGGAGGATGAGGAGGCAGAGGGAGCCCTGGTCGCAGATGGACAGAATGTCATTTGTCACTTTGACCAGGGCGGTTTCTTGCTGTGGGCGGCACGGAAACCCGGTTGGAGGGGTTCGAGAAGGGAGTGGCGGGAGAGGAAGGAGCGAAGCTGAGGAACAACAACACGCTCCAGGGCCTTGGAGAGGAAGGGGAGGTTGGAGATGGGGGGGTAGTTAGGGAGTAGAGAAGGGTCCAGGGAGGGTTTTTAAGGTTAGGAGTGTTGACAGCGGTTTATAATGGGGTGGGAACAGTGCCAGAGAACAGGGAGAGGCTTACGATGTCAGTGAGTCGTCTAACAAACAGCTGAAACACATGGCTTTAAGTGCCTTGTGACGTCTTCCAACATAAAAGGCAATTTAACGTTGATCAACAGAGGTGATGATGGACACAACATCTATTACCATCTTCACTTACTACCGCCCTAACGATTGCAAGTATTACGTGGAGTGAAACCCCTTCCAGTTGCTGACGCGCTTTGATTGTGATGCTCAGCTCCCCCTGGCGGCCCGGCCCGGCCCGGCCTCCTCCCCTCCCCTGGCACCCTCCCCTCTGGTGCCCTCCCCTGGCGCCCTCCCCTCTGGTGCCCCTCCCCTGGTGCCCTCTCCTCCCCTCCCCTCTGGTGCCCCTCCCCTGGTGCCCTCCCCTCCCATCTGGTGCCCTCCCCTCCCCTGGCGCCCCTCCCCTGGCGCCCTCCCCTGGCGCCCTCCCCTGGCGCCCCTCCCATGGTGCCCCTCCCCTCCCATCTGGTGCCCTCCCCTCCCCTGGCGCCCTCCCCTGGCGCCCTCCCCTCTGGTGCCCCTCCCATGGCGTCCTCCCCTCTGGTGCTCATCCCCTGGTGCCCTCCCCTCTGGTGCCCCTCCTCTGGTTCCCCTCCCCTCTGGTGCCCCTCCCTGGTGCCCTCCCCTCTAGTGCCCTCCCCTAGTGCCCTCCCCTCTGGTGCTCCTCCCCTGGCGCCCTCCCCTCTTGTGCCCCTCCCCTGGTGCCCTCCCCTCTGGTGCTCATCCCCTGGCACCCCTCCCCTCCCCTCTGGTGCCCTCCCCTGGTGCCCTCCCTCTGGTGCCCCTCCTCTGGTTCCCCTCCCCTCTGGTGCCCCTCCCCTGGTGCCCTCCCCTGGCGCCCTCCCCTCCCCTGGCGCCCTCCCCTCCCCTGGCGCCCCTCCCTGGTGCCCTCTCCTCCCTCCCTCTGGCGCCCCCCCTGGTGCCCTCCCCTCTGGTGCCCTCCCCTCTGGTGCCCTCCCTCTGGTGCCCTCCCCTCTGGTGCCGCTCCCGTGGCGCCCCGCCCCTCCGCTGGTGCCCCGCCCCGGCCTGTCAGTGCCCCGCCCCGGCCTGTCAGTGCCCTCCCTCCGCTGGTGCCCCGCCCCGGCCTGTCAGTGCCCCGCCCCGGCCTGTCAGTGCCCCGCCCCGGCCTGTCAGTGCCCCGCCCCGGCCTGTCAGTGCCCCGCCCCGGCCTGTCAGTGCCCCGCCCCGGCCTGTCAGTGGCAGCCTCCCCTCTCCACCATGTTCCGCCTGATCCCGAGCCTGCAGCGGGGTTGCCGGGGGCTGAGGGCGGTGCGGGCCTGGCAGCTGCTGAGCGGGAAGGCCCGGGCGGCGGGGACAGGGACAGGCGGGAGAATGGTGAGTGAGTGCAAGTCAAACCCGAGGGGGTGGGGGGACCACAGCAGAGCCGCGGCCTCGGCCTCGGCCCCGGGGCACAGCAGCGGCTGCAGCGGCCCTTCACACCCCAGTGAGGAGCCGCCCCACCCCCCGGGATCCGAGCACCACACCGTCAGCAAAAGGTCACCTTCCCTCCACAGCACAGCCACAGCCAACACAGCACAGCACAGCACAGCCAACACAGCACAGCACAGCCACAGCACAGCCACAGCCAACACAGCACAGCACAGCACAGCCACAGCACAGCACAGCCACAGCCAACACAGCACAGCCACAGCCAACACAGCACAGCCACAGCCACAGCACAGCACAGCACAGCCACAGCCACAGCACAGCCACAGCACAGCCACAGCACAGCACAGCCAACACAGCACAGCACAGCCAACACAGCACAGCACACACAGCACAGCCACAGCACAGCCACAGCACAGCACAGGGCCACACAGCACAGCACAGGGCAACACAGCACAGCACAGCACAGCACAGCCACAGCCAACACAGCACAGCCACAGCCACAGCCAACACAGCACAGCCACAGCACAGCCAACACAGCACAGCCACAGCACAGCCACAGCCAACACAGCACAGCCACAGCCAACACAGCACAGCACAGCACAGCCAACACAGCACAGCACAGCCACAGCCAACACAGCACAGCACAGCCACAGCCAACACAGCACAGCCACAGCACAGCCACAGCCAACACAGCACAGCCACAGCCAACACAGCACAGCACAGCCACAGCCAACACAGCACAGTACAGCCACAGCACAGCCAACACAGCACAGCAACAGCACAGCACAGCCAACACAGCACAGCACAGCCACAGCCAACAAGCACAGCACACACAGCACAGCCAACACAGCACAGCCACAGCCACAGCACAGCACCAACACAGCACAGCACCCACACAGCACAGCACCACACAGCACAGCCACAGCCAACACAGCACAGCACAGCCAACACAGCACAGCACAGCCACAGCCAACACAGCACAGCCACAGCACAGCCACAGCCAACACAGCACAGCCACAGCCAACACAGCACAGCACAGCACAGCCAACACAGCACAGCACAGCACAGCCAACACAGCACAGCACAGCACAGCCAACACAGCACAGCCACAGCACAGCCACAGCCAACACAGCACAGCCACAGCCAACACAGCACAGCACAGCACAGCCAACACAGCACCAACAACACAGCAACAGCCAACACAGCACCAACAGCACAGCCACAGCCAACACAGCACAGCACAGCCAACACAGCACAGCACAGCCACAGCCAACACAGCACAGCCACAGCCAACACAGCACAGCACAGCCAACACAGCACAGCACAGCCAACACAGCACAGCACAGCCACAGCCAACACAGCACAGCACAGCAAACACAGCACAGCACAGCCACAGCCAACACAGCACAGTACAGCCACAGCACAGCCAACACAGCACAGCACAGCCACAGCCAACACAGCACAGCACAGCCAACACAGCACAGCCACAGCCACAGCCAACACAGCACAGCACAGCCAACACAGCACAGCACAGCCAACACAGCACAGCACAGCCACACAGCAAGCACAGCCACAGCCAACACAGCACAGCCACAGCCACACAGCACAGCACAGCACAAGCACAGCACAGCCACAGCCAACACAGCACAGCACAGCCACAGCCAACACAGCACAGCCAACACAGCACAGCACAGCACAGCCAACACAGCACAGCCACAGCCAACACAGCACAGCACAGCCAACACAGCACAGCCACAGCACAGCACAGCACAGCCACAGCACAGCCACAGCCACAGCCAACACAGCACAGCCAACACAGCCACAGCCACAGCCAACACAGCACAGCCACAGCACAGCCACAGCCACAGCACAGCACAGCCAACACAACACAGCCACAGCACAGCCAACACAGCACAGCACAGCCACAGCCACAGCCAACACAGCCACAGCACAGCACAGCCACAGCCACAGCCAACACAGCACAGCACAGCCACAGCCACAGCCAACACAGCACAGCACAGCCAACACAGCACAGCACAGCACAGCCACAGCCCAACACAGCACAGCCACAGCCAACACACAGCACAGCACAGCCAACACAAACGCCACAGCACAGCCAACACAGCACAGCACAGCCACAACACAGCACAGCACAGCAGAACCCAACACAGCCCAGCACAGCCAACACAGCCAAGTACAGCACAGCCACAGCACAGCCAACACAGCACAGCACAGCCACAGCACAGCCACAGCCAACACAGCACAGCACAGCACAGCCACAGCACAGCACAGCCACAGCACAGCACAGCACAGCCACAGCACAGCACAGCACAGCACAGCACAGCACAGCCACAGCACAGCACAGCCAACACAGCACAGCACAGCCAACACAGCACAGCACAGCCAACACAGCACAGCCACAGCCAACACAGCACAGCCACAGCCAACACAGCCACAGCCACACAGCCAACAGCACAGCACAGCACAGCCAACACAGCACAGCACAGCACAGCCAACACAGCACAGCCAACACAGCACAGCCAACACAGCACAGCCACAGCACAGCCAACACAGCACAGCCAACACAGCCACAGCACAGCCACAGCACAGCCAACACAGCACAGCACAGCCAACACAGCACAGCAACAGCACAGCAACAGCACAGCTACAACCACAGCACAGCCACAGCACAGCCACAGCACAGCCACAGCACAGCACAGCCAACACAGCACAGCACAGCCAACACAGCACAGCACAGCCAACACAGCACAGCACAGCCACAGCACAGCCACAGCACAGCCACAGCACAGCACAGCACAGCCACAGCCAACACAGCACAGTACAACCACAGCACAGCCAACACAGCACAGCCACAGCCAACACAGCACAGCACAGCCAACACAGCACAGCACAGCAACACAGCACAGCCACAGCACAGCCAACACAGCACAGCCACAGCCAACACAGCACAGCCACAGCCAACACAGCACAGCCACAGCCAACACAGCACAGCCACAGCCAACAGCACAGCACAGCCAACACAGCCACAGCCAACACAGCACCAACAACACAGCCACAGCCAACACAGCACAGCACAGCCAACACAGCCACAGCACAGCCACAGCCAACACAGCACAGCACAGCCACAGCCAACACAGCACAGCACAGCCACAGCACAGCACAGCACAGCCAACACAGCACAGCACAGCACAGCCACAGCACAGCACAACACACAGCAACAAGCACAGCCAACACAGCACAGCACAGCCAACACAGCACAGCACAGCCAACACAGCCACAGCACAGCCACAGCCAACACAGCACAGCACAGCCACAGCCAACACAGCACAGCACAGCCAACACAGCACAGCCACAGCCAACACAGCACAGCACAGCCACAGCCAACACAGCACAGCACAGCCAACACAGCACAGCACAGCAACAGCCAGCATAGCACAGCACAGCACAGTCACAGCCAACACAGCACAGCACAGCCACAGCCAACACAGCACAGCACAGCCACAGCCAACACAGCACAGCACAGCCAACACAGCACAGCCAACACAGCACAGCACAGCCAACACAGCACAGCACAGCCAACACAGCACAGCACAGCACAGCCACAGCACAGCACAGCCAACACAGCACAGCCACAGCACAGCCAACACAGCACAGCCACAGCACAGCCACAGCACAGCCACAGCACAGCACAGCCACAGCACAGCCAACACAGCACAGCCACAGCACAGCCACAGCACAGCCACAGCACAGCACAGCCACAGCCAACACAGCACAGTACAGCCACAGCACAGCCAACACAGCACAGCACAGCCACAGCCAACACAGCACAGCACAGCGA